GCTTCTATTTATGCAACCTCTCATGCATTTCTGTCAAGGCGCACTCGCTACTTTGTACAGGGTATCTACTAGTCGACACGCCAGCACGCCTGTTTTTTATGAATTTACAGGTTTTATTTATATGTGTGTGTGTGTGTATTTATTAAGCACCAATTAAGCACTAAAAACGTGAATGAGAAATAATCTTAGTTCCCTCACTGGAAAATTACCCACAATAATCGTTGTTGCTGTCAAAAAAAAAAATAAAAAAAGGCGTAGAGAAACATGATACAAAAGCGCATCTGTATATATTTATAAATACACAATTACAGGTGTCTTCTCTGCCTTTCATTGTTTCACTAGATCAACATGCTACACTTTATGAAATTAAATAAAAATGAAAAAAAAATAAGCAGACAATAAAACAGACAAAGAAGAGTCTATGTAATTCTCATTCGAAATAGGCTTAGTTGTGTGCGTAAAATATGACTTTAATTGACAAATAAGAAAATAAAAACAAATAACTATAATTAAGGGCAATTAATTAGTATTTTATAAATAAGTCTGCATGAAAAAAATCATTAAAATAACTTCATTAACTCCTATTTCATTATTTATCATTACTCATTACTCATTATTCATTATTCGTAATGTAGATTATTTTCATATTTACCAATCGCATTAGAAGCTTAACATCGATATCTGTTCACATTTGTATATAATCGAGACAAGTTTTTTGTTTTTGTAAATAATGAGCTTAAGATGCACCAAAATTGATAAAGCTTCTGGTAAAAGTAGTATAGATCGATTGGAGCGATACGAAAATCAAGTCGATACTTTAATGCTCAAACTAGCAACAAAGGAATGTCTCGATCAACAAAGCACGACATGAAAATATTTGTGCGCCTCATTACAGTCAACGTTCTAATTGTTAATATCAATAAAGATGCGAAGCGCATGTATCAAAAACTTTACAAATCGCCGAATACTAATTATTCTGCAATTTTGTCGCAGCATAGGTGTGGCAATAATGAGTGAAAGCAGCCAACACAAGGCAAGAGACTTTGCCTTGAAATACTCTAAAAGATTTATTTATTTATGTACGCCAAAGCACTTGAAATTGTTTGCGACTCGCAGCAAGTGCGACAAAAAGCTCTAGGTTGGAGCTACTGATTCAAAGTTGCGCGAGCGAAACTCGATTGCACTCGCACTCGAACGCATGATCGTTCGATCGCTTGCAAAAAAACAAAAAAAAAACACTTGTTTTGAAACTGTCATAGCCAAAATCGGGGCCAGTGCATGCTGTTCAGGTTTTAGTTGTACTCGATATCAGCCATGAACGTGGCACGTGCAAACGGTTATTGACACCGTCTGATTGACCTGAATGCTTCAATAAACATTCTGAAGGTAGTTTAAGCGATCGAAGAAACTAGCAAATAACAAAATTGGATAAGAATTCAGCTAGTAGACTCGCGGAGTTCTTTTACATTAATGTTTGCATGCAACTTATAAATCATTAGACAATGATAATGATGCACATTAGCGTGCATTGGGCAAATTCAAAGGCCAATTCATCAGTAAATCTTGCTGAAACATTTTTGAGTTGTGGCTTAAACTTTTTGTGGAATCAAAGCTTACTCTGTGGTAAATACAATTCAAGAAGTTTTCGCTTAAAGTTTTTGAGTTGTGAACAATGAATACGTGCATACCTTAATGAATACGTGTTTTGGCCAGATGAAAATTTTCCATTTTCAACTTAATCTTAAATTCTGAACTGATGCTAAAAGAAGGTGCGTGGCATGTTTGCATCTGCAGCCAGTGTAAAGGAAGAATATTTTAGATATATATCTTTTTTTTTAATTTTTATATATTTTATCTTGAACACAAGCTTGTTTATACAAGAAGTTAGTTTTCGACCGTTCGTTACGATATTAGCCATATGTTTATTGTAATCAAATGTGTAAAGATTTGGCCAAAACGGAGTATAAAACTTATAAATAAACGGAATATGAACTTTGCTGTTGATGCTGAACAAGAATATATAGTATTTACTTGATGGGGTCGCAGATCGCAGACCTCAGCTAAAGTAAAACTGTTTGACTTGACATTATAGGAAAATACCTGTGACTTTTCTTAGCCTTAGTTAGGCGTGATATGAGTAGCACCTGAAACGTGCGCAGAGCTCGCAAATAATATTCTAGCGTAAGTATAACACGTAAGTTCCCATGGCTTTCTTGCTGTTCATAAGCGTTAAGACTCTATTGTGCCTGAACCTCGCCTCGAGTATATATTCTCAGTATTTTTTGATTTCAGTTCCAGCTTATTGTCTTAAAATCAATTACGAATACATACATATGTATGCGAATGATTCATGCAAAAAAGTACATAACTGAATGATTCAATTCGATTTACATTGGATTTACTTCCTTAAGTGAATGATTGAATAATTGAAAGCGCGTTGCCTGCTTCAACTGATTTTAAATGTTTTAAAAGTGTTTAAACTGTTTTTTATCAGTGTGACTAGCTGCAATGATCCTAGGCTGGTTGATTGCCTCCAAGTGTGTGCATATAAATAGTATATAAGAAGTCGGTCTGAAGGGTAACTCACCAGACATTGAGCGATTGGCTCAAACCTTATCAACCGATATGGTGTGGCTATAATTGTTGTTTTCAATAGCCGACGCTAACAAATTTTATCAAAAACTATATATATATATATTTTTATCAATATATATACGAATACAGTTGCATTATGAGTATGTATGCTATGCTGATTACATTTTGATCCAAGTAATTGGCCAATTACTCAATTCTTTCCGGACAAACTCTTTGCGCGCAGAGCTAACGCCTCTAAAAATAGAAGCATTTGTTTGTTTTTCTATTCGCGTGCTGTTAGCAACTTTTATTGCCAAGACACATGACAGCACACGCAGCGCATAAAATCGCAGATTTCAATTTTAAATCACATTTGATTTGAAATTATAATTGTGAATTGTTCACATACATACATGCATATTTAACATTTGTAATCAATTTTTCTCACATTACTCATCTATTGTGAGTATCTAAGTGATTCGCAGTACTCGAGAGACGCACAAAATGCCCGAAACCGGAACAAAAGCTCGAGAAGAATCGCCGCAAAACAAAGCGAATCAGCGCATGCGCGCATAAAGTCCGTCGCAACAAGACAAAGATTCAATCTGTAGAAAATTAACAAATACGTCTCTTTAAGCTGGCAAGCGGCATGCCTCAGGGTCAACAACGTATGTATGTACATATATGTATCTTATAAGTTGTAGATATTGGTTCTTGTTTTCAATTACAGTTTAATATTTTTCGTCGTAATTAGCTGTTTTTTTTTTTTTTCGTTTTCAACTAAACACGCACTTGAACGCTTTAAGCTTTCGCCATACGCATTTTTTTTTTGCTTGTTTGTTTGTGTATTGCTTTTATTACCGTTGTATTCACTTAGGCAGTGCACTCCAAGAACAACTACAATCAAACAACACAACGAAACAATAAGTACTGCAGTAACGCGAAAAGCTCCGCGCACGTTTGTCAGCTTCAACTTTCGTCGGTTAACTGAACGCGATACAACGACGACAGAAACAACTTTATCATCAATGATTCGACTCAGGTTTGATCAAGCCAATAATTGTATAAGTATATGTATGTGTATGTATATAATCTCATATCGCGCACATGATAAAAGAGTGTTCATATTTATGTAACTATTGAAATAATCAACTTTAAAATGATTTGTATATTAATGGAATTATTATACATTGTGGAAATATAATATTTTTATAATTTTCATTAGATGCCCAAATTCAATGCTCGTTAGTTAGTGTTGGTGTCTGTTCATTCAATAACCGAAGCCCAATGTATAACAGACATATTCAAATAACCGCGCTTAAAAATGTTATATACGTGCTAATCTGTACACTGCAAGAAATTCAATGTGAATTGAGGTTTTCGATAACTAACTATACAAACTAACTGTTGCTTGAGTATATTATTAAAATTATTTTAATATGGGCACATATTTAACTTAAATGATACCTTATCTAATCTTGAAACCATTTTGGATAGTCTCACTATATTTAAAATCATTGAATTTTCAAAAAAGTATCGATAACGATTATTTATAAGGAGTGGACTTGCGACAGATGACTGCGAAATACTCGTTTTGATTGTTTTACATAGAAATAAATCATAAGCTTGTGGAGAACGCCAACTTGCTAAATACCGTTTGCCCAATCAGATTGTGAAGTATTAACTACTTCAAAATTAAGTTTAACAACGTTGGTGAAAAATGGTAACTTAAAGCGGACATTTACTTATCGATAAGTATTGAACGAAAATATCGAGTTCATAACAGCACCAACCGAGCATAACAGTGTTAAATTGAGCATCGAACATCTCACGCAAATCGAGAGAAATAACATTGAGACGAGAGAAGAAACAAGCAAAAAAAAAACACATCACTACGGTCGACCTATTTTCAGGTGGTAGCAGAAAAAAAGCAATATTTAGCGGAAAACGAACGATTGTCCTACGGCAAATACGCACATACACATTGTTAAGCTGCATCAGAATTTTGATTACATGATAAGCAAATGTGCGCAAAATGAAAGTAACAATCAAGTCATGGACGGGAGTTGCATCTTGGCGTTGGATAGCAAATGATGAGAATTGTGGCATTTGTCGCATGTCCTTTGAGAGCACCTGCCCCGAGTGTGCGCTACCCGGTGACGACTGCCCCCTAGTGTGGGGTGTTTGCTCCCATTGCTTTCACATGCATTGCATTGTCAAGTGGCTAAACTTGCAACAATTAAACAAACAGTGCCCAATGTGCCGCCAAAGTTGGAAATTCAATATACACTAAAGTTTACAAAATTACGAAAAAGCAACAACAACAACAAATACAACGATATTAAGAATTAGAGCTAACGGGCAGCCAGAAATCAACAACAACAAGAACAACAACCACAAGCATCAATAACTTTTTTTAATTATACAAATTGCAAATCGCATCAAAATTTCCAAAATGATGGGCAACAGTGAACAACAACAACAACGCCAGCTGCAACAGCAATACACATTAACCACTGGTCTGCCGCCACTGCCAAAAAGTCTGAGCGCCGCTGCCGCTGGCACTGCTATGGGACCGGAGCTGGCGAGTGGCAGCGCGCTTGGTCAGGGCCAGGCGCAGGTGCGCTCTCACACATCCTCACCGCAGCAACTGCAACCGAACACGTCCGTTGCCGCACTGACCGCTGCGACGGGCGATCTGTACCTGGGGCCATCGACTTCCTCGGCTGCAGCGGCAGCAACGCGCAATCGCAACTACAATGGTCATGGACGACATGGCAGCTTGTCATCCACACAAGAGTCGCTAAGTGATCGTGAGAGTGTGCATAGTCGGGCCTCGTCTACGCACAGCGCGGGCGGCAGCGCAGCCCAGCACCATCAGTCGGCCGCGAATGGCAGCAATAATGCGTCGAGCACCATCGACAACCAGCTGGCCATACTGCGCCGTGAAATGTACGGCTTGCGGCAGCTGGACTTGTCGCTGCTGTCCCAACTGTGGGCGCTGAATGAGTCCATTCAAGGCTTTCGGGTGTTTCTGCAGGAGCAGGAGGCCCTTTCGCCACCGTCTCGTTCGCGCACGCCATCCGATGCCAACTCACTGTCATCCGATGAGGATGATGGTTCCTATGCACCAGTTGCAGCACCGAAGCGAAATCCACAGCCGTCGGCAACCATTGCCGCACTCTCTTCACCAGCAGCGACTAGTAATTTGCCCACAAAGTTGGCCACAGGTTCAACCACATCGCATGCATCGACCAGTTCGACATCTGGAGCATCTGGCTCGTCTTCGGCAGCTTCCTCCATGGGCAAGCACCATCATCAGCAACAAATTCCGCATTATCATCGTTCAGCAGCTCCGCCAGCGCCACCGACCCAGCACAAGGCGCATCCGCAGTTGCCGCGCATACTGCAGCAACGCATGCGGCACGCGCCGCCTCCGCCACCGCCTACGCGACCCAAGGGTGGCGGCGCGAGTAGTAGCAGCAGCAACCATAGTATTAGCAGTGTCACGCAGCAGCAGCAGCAGCAGCAACAGCAGCTGCTACATCAAAACCTACAGCATCAGAGGCCCCTATGACAAAACCCATTCTTGGACTAAGTATGCTAAACGCGTATTTGGTTCGAGAAGGCTCTATCGAAAATAGATACTACCATAACATTTCTGAAAAGTCAATTGCACATTTATCCAGGAGTCAATTAGCAAGCAACACCTAAGGCCAGCTGAGGGCGACTTGTGATCTTTACTTGGATGGCTTGCTCGACACAAACATTCAAGCTCCATTTCGTTCTGGATTTATACAAAATCGATGTTGGGCCAACGTCAAGCAACTTTGAATGGTTAAAATTTTGAATAGGAAATTGTATTCAATAATAATCTTCAAATAGTCTGGGATAAAATCCTTTGATAAGAACTACGTAAATTGCATATTTATACATATTTATAATCTATTTGTATATTACCCGTACACATACAACTTAATTGCTGCTTTGAAACAGAAACTGCATCGAACAGAGGATGCGAAATCATGCTTGTGGCAGAAGTCTTGGATCTAAAATATCTACATAACATTTGCAATGATAGCGAACATAACAATTTATTAAATTAACTATTGTGCTAATTGGACCTATTATTAAATGAAAAAAAAAAATACTGTATAACAAAGCATACTCACTCATTAGAATTAACCAAATCCGAACTCGCGGTCTAGAACATTAAATCTATCCAATTTAATGTATACTTTTTTTCTTTGTTATTTTCCAGTGTTAAATGCGATGATTCTTAATTTGTTATTGACAACAATTGTGTCAAGCTTCGCATAGATACACTCGGACTCAGACTTGACAAAACACTCACCTTCATCAAACCAATTTGGTAAACACATAATCATCCTCAATTCTTACCGTTCGTCTGACTGTCCTACTTGTCAGCTTTAAAGTATAGATCAAACTAGAGCCAGCTGATCTTAGTCCACACGCTTATCACATAGGTGCTTCTAAGAATAAACATTAAATATAAACTGTATACCATACTGGGAAAACGATCGATGTAATCAAAGCTATCAAAGCAAATTGTTTGTAAACAGAAAAGGAAAATTACATTTCTCATGAGACAAAACTTTTCCCAGCTATATATTAGACGTTTCATTAGCACTCATTTTAAAGACTTTTGCGTTGTTTCATGTATGTATATATTATTAAAACCTTTAAACAGGCGAGAGTTCAACAAAAGAGAACGATCAAAATGTATCAGAGAAATGTCTGTAGAGCAGACAATATATAGGAATATTTAAAAAGCCTAAGATTGATTTATTAATTTATAGCGCTTATATTTGGATTATACTTCCTGTTCACACGTTTCATAACTTGCACTTTAATTAATAATTATAAAAAAGCATTTAAACAGTTTTTGGAGACCAACTGAGTTCGAAGATTTATAAAATTCAAATACCCGTACTTGTCGAAACTTTATTATGTTGCATTCAAGGAATTCAATCAAAATATCAAATATTGAAAACTGCGCCAATGCATCAGCCTAATAATATCATTACCTAACGGGTTTTCAAATTCATTAGCAACTATCAACTATTTAATGCTCTAATATGTACACCAAGCATTTTTTTTTTAAATCTTATAACAATGTTCGAGTAAACAGACTCCAGAAAATCGACGACGAGTGAACGAAATTTTAGCATGTAATTTATTGCTAATAAATTGAAGATTTTGTACAAACCCTGGGACAGATAAATATCGTTAAAATGTAATATGTAATGGAAATAATTAAAGAACAAACGAATTAAAAATCATAACAATAAATATTTGCTAAACTATTCACTTAACTGCTGGCAATTTATTCAATATATGTACAACATTTGAGATGTTGGCAAATTGCTCAAATAGGATCATTACCAACAACGGCTCGACCGAATTGGCCAGTATAAATTTTCTTTCGTATTTGTGTGAAGTTTTGTGCCTGTTTGTGCACACATGCATGAATGCATGTTTCTTTTGTTTAAATGCAACATGCGTGCATGCGTACATGTATGACTACATGTCCAGATACTTCCATACATGTATGAAAAACCAAAAACAAAGAAACACTACACTACTAGCTAAGCATAAAAACTGAATTATTGAGAATCGAGGAGTAGAGCACTTGCTGAAAATACGTTTTATTTAAATTTGCAGCACAGAGACACAAAAAAACTTGGTCTCCATTTGGTCTTAGAAAGCTAACATGCATGCATACATATATGCATGCATACCCTAGCCCACACACATGCAAACACACACTCACACAAACGCACGCACATGCATATATATACTAGTTATACGCCTTCGTACAAAATATATATATATATATATATACAAGGAAAGAACATACATTGGCTCTAAAAAAAGAAATATGTGTTTTAAGTACTGAACAGTCCACAGCAACTCGATGGAATTTCTGAAAAAGATTTCAAGAAACTGAATTTGCGAATTTTGGTAGAAAAAAAATAGGGAACTCACTATTAGTATTTCCCCAGCCTAAGGGCACGCCCAGGCGGCTGTTCTCCTGCTTGAGCCATTGATAAAGCGGATCAAAGTATTCGAGTAGTGCAGCCGGGTCCATTTCAGTCTCTCCAGTAAACTCTTCCAAAACAATTTTCCAATGTTTTGAATTGCCAGCTGACAAGAATGTTTTAAATGCTTGGCCCGCCTTTTTGCTGCCAAATATATCGCAGTTGTCGAGAGTCTGTTGACTGTCGCCAGGCGCATATTGTCCAGCTAGGCGACACAAAGCCCTATGGAACTGAAATTGGAATATGTGCGCCGCAAAATAGCGCAAGTATTCGACATCGGCATCAATATGATACTTTGCGGGCGGATCAAAGTCACTATTGCTGCGAGTTAAGGGCGGTTCAAGGCCACCAAACTCGGAGCGCATCTGCCAGAAGGCGCAGTTCCATTGAGATTCATCGAGTTCGCCGCGAAACACAGCATAGCGATACTTGTCCATGGTATAGCCAAAAGGCAGGAAGACAATCTTAGACAGAGCTTGCTTAAATAGCTCATTAATGCGGCTCTTCTCGTCTAGGCGTCCGCTGCGGGTGAGATTAAGGCTCTTTAGGTGCTTGGCGGACATGGCCGATAGCGCTATGACATCGCCGACAGCCTCGTGAAAGCCCGGATTGGGCGCACCTCGAAAAACGGCAGGCTGTTGCTCATACTGCAAATAGTATTGAATGTGACCCAGCTCGTGATGCACAACGTACAGATAATGTGTGTTTAGCTCGGTGCACATCTTGATGCGTACATCGCTGTCCTGATAAAAGTCCCACGCGGACGCATGGCAGACGACTTCCCGATCTGTGGGTCGTTCCAGCACACTCAAGTTCCAGAAGCTTGCCGGCAGAGCACGCATACCCAGCGATTGGAAAAACTGATCACCTAGTTCAAACAGTTTCCGAACGCTGTATTCTTGTCGCTCCATTTCCAGCTTGACGTCCACAAATGGCTTTTCCGGATACGGTGTGAATAAATCAATGACATCGTTCCACGATTGCGCCCACATATTGCCCAACAGATGCATGGGTATATTGCCCTCAGCAGGCACCACCTCAGGTCCGTAATGCTGGCGTAGGCGGTACCTAACGTAACCGTGTATCTGTCTGTAGAAGGGCAGAAGGGCTTTGTAGGTGGCATCTAGCTGTCTCTCAAAGTCCGCATCTTCATAGAAGTGTACCCAGTAATCGGCATAGGAGCGATAGTCTAGAAAACGGTCGTTTATTTTGTTAGAGATCACGGGGGTTATCTTGTCAGCTGAGTGAGAGAATCACATACCGTTCAGATGGGCTGCCTTGCGTGTAAGGCGAACATACTTTTCAAAGTTTCCGCGCATAGGCGTGCCAGCCTTGTCGTACCATTCGCGCCAATACCATGCCAACTCGGCGGGATCACGACTGTTCGCCAGACGCTCCTGTATGTGCGGCTCCAGGGTCAGCGAGCAGTCGGTCCGATTCGTGTAGGAGCAAACACTGGTGGTAGCATAGTTGGACTGCATGGAGCTAATGGCATTCTTCAGTTCGAGATAGTCGCTAGGGTCGAGTGCATCCGCACCCAGATCCTGCAGCATTCGCGCCTGCCGTCGTATATTTGCGTCCGCGGATTTGGCATAATCACCCGCTCGAACAGCCTGCGCCAACAGTTTGTTCTGGCTCGCACTCTCCGCGTACACCACTATCATGGCGCGGCGATTCTCTTCGGTAACGTTCGTGTTGTACGTATAGGCGGCTGAGTACTCTGCATGGTAGCGTTCCCGCAACTTTGAGTTCTCTTGTTCAAAGAAGCGTTGCGCCTGCAGCACGGATGCAGAGCAGCTATTATCATCGGCACTTCCATAAGGCAGCTGAACGCGATAGAATCTTTGAATATAAGCATGTATAATCCTGGCTAGCTGCTAATATACTTACCCACAGCGCAAAGGCGAAGGCGAAGGCGAGCAACAAACTCAGATTTGACCCGTTCATTACGTCCAATTGAATCCGATCTTCCTTATCAGTAGCGCTTCACAAAGCTGCAGCACTTTTACTATTTTCTGTGCTAACGTCGAGCGCCGTTCTCTAGTTTTGCGGCTGGGCTGCTGACATTTGAGTTCTGGACACCCGCCAACAAGCAGAGCTGCTTTTATGCATGCTCCGATTCTCACACACACACACACACACATACACATACATTTAACCGCACAGTCAGGTATCGATACCAAGCCTAAGCAATTCAAAAATGGCTCTAATCTTCTGTCAGAATTAAGCGTTTATGAACACATGCAATGCATTTCACCATATATCTACATACACACATACACACACACATACATGAATATACATACATACTATGGGAATGTAATGTTTGGCTTATCATTTGTTAAGAGTGAGTATTTAGGCGTGATGGGTTTCATATTCTATTTTTATTTATTGTAGTAGTTGTTCGCAGAACGGTGTTAAATTACATTTACATATATGTAGCTACACGTTGGGATAAACATTTAAATGCAAATAGTTGATAATATTTATTTAGTGTTTTTAATGCGTGACCTGTGCCTCTGTGTTAACAAATTTTGTTTTATGGGACCACGTTTTGAATTCATAAAATCTTAGACATAATTCCAATTGGAATTCAAAAATAGTAACGCAAGTTTTGCTAGATTAATTCAAAATACGAAGCTAATTCATTGCAAATTTAAGGCCTGATCTGAAATATATGTATATATATACTATATAAATCGGCAAAGGGTACAGGGTATAAAAGAACCTGTTCATGTTATTGCGGCCTTCAAAAAACTTCACATTTCTTATAATATTCTCCTGGATTGTGGGAATAGATTATTAGTCAATCGAATGACAATAAAACATAGGCCAAATACAAATGAATAATATACAAATGTACATAATGGTTTATTTTCTATCCAAGTAGAATTTCACTATTGTCCGACTCAATATTATGGGTTCACTCACGGTTTGTTTGCTCTAATAAATTGGAAAGCTCTGGTCGACTTGGTTTGTCCAGGCATGCAAACCGCCTTCCAAGTCGCGTATGGAATGCTCGGGCAAACGGGTTCTCATGTGCTGCACGGCAATCTGTGAGTCATTGCCGCGACGGCATACAACAAATATGGGTAACTCTTTGCTCTCCAATTGCTGGGCGAAACGTTGAAGATAGCTGTCATCCAGGACGTGCGCCAAGGGCACGTTAATTGAGTCGGGCAACTGACAGATTTCAAATTCAGCTGGCGCACGCACATCCAGCAGCAAATGCGCCTTGGTCTTCATCAACCTTTGATAGTCCAGCACATTAATGCGCTCTTCCGGCTCTAGCAGCTTCACTGCGTTGTCCTTGTCATTGGCATTCATGCCGCAGAAGAGCTCGTAGTCGATCAGTCCAGTGATGAGCGGCTGGGCAGAGCAAACGTGACAGTTGGGCCGCTTGCTACGTATTTTGATGTTGCGGAACTGGCAGCTGCTGCCGTCAAAAATGAGCATACGTCCGGCCAGTACGTCGCCCAATCCGATTATGATCTTAATGGCTTCCAGTGCCTGCATGGCACCTATTGTGCCGGTAACAGCCCCCAATACGCCGCCATCACCGCAATTGGTGACCGCCTCTGGCGGCGGGGGCACCGGATAAATGCAGCGATAGCAAGGTCCCTGGGCGCCATACGAGTACACTGTCAGCTGGCCATCCAGTTTCAGTGCACTGCCGGAGACCAACGGCTTGCGCAGCATCGTACAGGCATCGTTCAGCAGATAGCGTGTGGCCACATTGTCGCTACAGTCCAGCACAATGTCATAGGCACGCATAATGTGCATTGCGTTCGAGCTGTTCAGCAGGCGTGGATAACATGTTATGCGGCAATGGGGATTCAGTTCTAGCAATGCGATGCGCGCCGATTCGGTTTTAGACATTCCACAGCGTGCCACCGTGTGCAGCGTCTGGCGGTGTAGATTGCTACGCTCCACCTCGTCATAGTCCACCAGACCCAAATTGCCGCAGCCTGCACTGCAAAGATATTGCGCCGCCGGGCAGCCTAATCCACCTAAGCCAACGATTAGCACCGCGCTGTTCTTAAGCTTAAGCTGACCGCTTACGCCAAAATCAGATAGTATGAGCTGTCGACTATATCGCGCAATATCATCGTTGTTAAGCGTTGCATATTGCTCCCTTGTTGCGTGCTGCAGATCAGCTTCTGGGTCCAAGTGTGATGCTGCTGTTCTTGACTGAAGATCGCGCAGGTTTTGCTCTTTGGCATTCAATGCAGCCTGCAGCTCGGCAATCTCTCGACGTAGTTTTGCCTTTTCTGTTTCTAAACAATTGGCAGCGGCAATCATTGGTACGTAAGTGCATTCGATTTGTTAAGTAAAAATAAGCAAGTACTTGTTTACTCACTCAGGCGGTATATGCAGCGTTGCCAGACCGGACAAAAGATATGCGATAGTATCGGCGAGCTTAAACAGCTGACGGAGCTGTTACCGTTGCCTATCGTCGTCTTTGGAGTTGACTATTTTTAATTACCTAATCGTTAATTACACACAGAAACTGATGTCTTGGCTGAGCAGCGCGTTTCAAAAACTGTGTAACGCAGCACATCTGGCTAGCAGATCGAAGCCTTTGGCACTGACCTCTTACCAAACAGTGCGTCAGCTTTCGCACGCCGAGAAAAGGGCGCGAGGCCGCACGGTGCGTCGCTATGGATACAAGGAGAAGTTGTTCCAGAGTGGTCTACTGCCGCATTTGGATAATGGACAGAAGCTACCCATACCAGTGTATAGGCCAAAAAATCCGTGGTCTGAGAAGCGGGCGCTCTTCGGTCAAAATGACTTTATAGACATATTGGGCAACGACCGGCTTCATCCCACACGTGTGCTGTACTCGGTGCCTTCCTGGTTGCGCGGCGTCTCGGGCAATGAATACCAAGTACTGTTGCGCAAGCGTCGAATGCTGGAGAAGACCAAGTACCCGATTGCCCGGCCAACCAAGTGGAAAGATCTGCAAAAGCGCATTTTGTATTTATACAGATTCCTCAATCGAAAAACAAAAACCGGATACTCTACGCAATAATCTTACAAATTAATTATAATGATTGCTCGTCTATGTTGAATAAAGATGTTCTTTTTATTTGAGTATCCATATTCAGTTTATTCTAGCAGTATTCGCGCCTCTTCCCCATCAATCATGATCTTTTGGCCATTATACAGACAGAACTCCCGCTTCACGTGCGCAAAAAGCAAATCTGTAATTAAAAATATTTGACCCGTGCAGAAAGCGAGCGTAGCTCCAAAGTAAAAGTTCGCGTTTGCAGAGCCGGCATAGATCCACAAATGCCACAAGGCGCCCATCATGGACAACGTTATGAGGAAGAAAGTAAACACAACAAAACCATGCGCCATGACTAAAAAGACAACAAATTTACATTACTAGCTTGCAATAGGCTGTACTTCTTTGGGAGTGGCCGATTAGACAGTTACTTACACTTCCAGCAGCGGCGCCAGAGTGGTAATAAGGCCAAGTAGAAACCGACGTCACCTAGGCTAGGATATGCTCGAAAAACTGCCGTTAGCGAAACGAGGACGGTGGCCAAGAGAAGCGGTTCCTTGCGCAGCTTTATGGACAGAGGCACCAGGTACAAAACGGTGGCATTTAGCTGAAATGTTATAAGAAACATGGTGCGAAAGTGTTCAAACATTTCGGTGAAAAAGTACCAAAACAGTCCAATATTGGGCTGCAGATCGCGAAAGTAGAAGCTGAAATTAACAATTAAAACATGCATTAACCAAATCAATAACAAAACTGCTGTCACGTACATAAAACCGAGTGTTCCATCTAAAAAATTCCAGCTATTCATAACAAAGTAGTTTGCACCGGCCACAGCCAAACAGCAAGTTGCAAAAAGTAAGCATATACCGATGCCCAGGCTGACAGACCGGCGGGCAAAGAGTAAAAGCAGCGGCGCGATAAGCACAACCGGATAGAGGCTGCGGACGGTCTCAAATGCGAGCAGAGCGACGCTTATGAAGAGCTGGCGCCTGATCATCGTATATAGAAACATTGCCAATAACAAATTACTCAGCACAGTGGAGGTCAGTGCCACACAGCTGAGTATTGTCAATGGATTGAATAGGTAGGCTACCAAGACCAGCTCCGGTATGATGTATTTGTCATTCGCACTGTACTGCAGCTCCTCTGTATCCTTGGCGTAGTCCTTGCGCTCCTGACGTTGCTGTTGCAGTTTTTGCGCAACAAAAGTACGGCTCATTGAATACAGCAATGCGGCCGTGCATAAATCGAGCAATATATAGAGAAATGGAAGCCATTCCGCATAATGTATTAAAATGCTGGATATTGCTTTAAGAAGCAACGGTGTCTCGTGCACAAGATCTCCTCGGTATGGATCGACGCCTTGTTGGAGCAGAAATACTCCCTCTTGAACTGCAAATTAAATACAACAAGCATGAGAATGCCTTAAAGTATTTACGCTTAACTGAATACTTACTGCGCTTGAAAGAGTTTAAAGGAGTGGCAAATTCTACGCGATGGCCGATAAGCGACGGCAATGAAGTGCTACTGAAATACAAGCGCACGGCGCCGCCGATTAAAAGTAGTTTGTAGCACTTGCCGTCCATGGCTGCAAGCTAGTTGAGATTGACAGCTATTGATAGAAATTTAGGCTACAATCATAATTTTATAACTACTCCCGTCTTAGAGGACAGCCTTTTAAATAAAACATATGTGACTGTTGCAATGGCCCCCCGATATATTTCTTATCGATAGAGCGGAGTGCACTACCGATAGACAGCGCACGTATGACAAACCAATTAGCGATGTGCGTCAAATAAACGGCAGTGACTTAGCGTCGATTTTTGGTACTTGGTATCGGAAAAGGAATCGCTCACTTTTGAATGCATTTGTTTATGTTTTTAAGCACGACACCAAATAAATTTAAATGCAGAATTGCAAAAAATTAAATTATTTACTATCTATATTTATTTATTTTTGAATTTTATTTATAGTATGGGTAAACAAAGTAAGGTTTCCACCATTCTAAAATATCTTAATTTAGGGATAATGGCCACGAAAACCGCATATACAGGATTGAAGTCTATAGTTTCAGCTAACCAATCTTGTAAAAATTATAAAAAATGATCGGCACGTTTTTAAGATATTTGTACTACAGCCCCAAGCAAATTTACCGTAAAAAATCACCCTTGCACTTGAACCCTGATATCTTTACTCAGAGATAATGGCCCTCAATGCCGGTATACCAACTTGAAGATACATGTTTAAGGAAGCTTTACGCATTAATTCTAAGCAAATCGATCAGCCAGCTTTTTAACCAATAATTAAATGTAAACAACAGCTTGGAATCAGTGCTGAACAATTTTATACAGGTTTTGAGCGGGAACTAATTAATTCAAATTATTTGTATATGTATATGAAAGGATGAGTCGGCAGAACTGGCAGCCCAATAAAATCGAATAATCGCGAAAGTGAATAGCTTTGGAATCGATAGATCAAGTTTTCGATGCTTTTTACGACAAATTCGCATGCACAGGTCAGGTTAGTGTCGTTCGGAGAGTCATAAATATAACTAAAAAAAAATGTCGGAAGAAACAAAGAAACTCGACTTATCTGGCGATGGAGGCGTACTCAAGGAAATACTGAAGGAGGGAACTGGCAACGAGACGCCAAATAGCGGCTGCAAGGTATCGCTTCACTATACCGGCAGACTTGTTGACGGCACGGAATTCGATTCCAGCGTGGGTCGCAATGAGCCATTTGAATTTGAATTGGGCAAAGGTATGAGCGTTTGGAGAATACTTTTCACACACAAATAATTAATTTAAATGCGTATCCAAAGGACGCGTTATCAAAGCCTTCGACATGGGTGTCGCCACAATGAAGCTGGGCGAGCGCTGTTTCTTGACATGTGCTCCAAACTACGCTTACGGCGCTGCTGGCAGCCCGCCAAGCATACCGCCAGACTCGACGCTTATATTTGAGGTAAGCACACACCCATATACCTGTGTCCCACACCTGTCATACAACTGTTCGACTTCAGCTGGAAATGCTGGGCTGGAAAGGCGAGGATCTCAGTCCAAATCAAGATGGCAGCATCGAGCGCACCATTCTGGAACCAAGCGATAAAAAGCGGACACCTAGCGATGGCGCATTTGTCAAGGGTTGGTCACCATTATCAAAGTCTTGCGGTCTAAGTAGTGGTTAAAACGCAATTGCTTAAAACATTTTCAGCTCACATTTCTGGAAGCTTCGATGGTCGCGTGTTCGAAGAACGCGATGTAGAATTCGATTATGGCGAGGGCAGTGCCATTGGCATAGTTGAAGGCCTCGAGCTGGCACTGGAGAAAATGAATATTGGCGAAACATCCAAGTATATACACTTAAACTCATTACTATGTTTATAGGCAATTCAAACAACTGATCGCAGATTAAAAGTAAACCTTGTTGATTTACGAATCTATGCAACAAACAAGTCTGCCTATAGGCATAGTGAATGATAACAAACAGGTTCAATTGTATTGCTAACACGCATCTATTTACGAATTGCTTACAGAATCAAAATACATTCAAAATACGCATTTGGGGCCAAGGGCAACGAGGCCTTTAAGATACCGCCAAACTCAACTATTGAGTACACTGTGAAATTAATAGACTGCGGCAAGGGCCTGGAGGAATGGAAGTTGAGCGACAGTGAGCGCGTGGCTGAGGCAAAAGTCTATAAGGAGAAGGGCACCAACTATTTTAAAAAGGATAATTTCGAGCTAGCCATTAAAATGTACAATAAGTGCAAGAACCTCTTACCCAGCATAAAGGACAATACCAGCGACGAGGTTAAGGCCCTGAAAGTGGCCACACACAGCAACATCGCTCTGTGTCATCAAAAATCCAACGATCACTTCGAGGCCAAGCAAGAGGTGGGTGCCGCAGCACACCTAACCCAAAATTATTATGTGTGTGATCTATATTAATGATATTTTCGCTTAAACAGTGTAATGCTGTGCTGGAATTGGATGCCAACAATGTCAAGGCGCTGTATCGCCGCGGTCAATGTAATCTGATTATAAATGAGCTGGAGGATGCTTTGGAAGATTTTCAGAAAGTAAGTGAATTCGATTTTTGATTAAGAAACGATAAAACGATGTAAATAATTGCAGGTTATACAACTGGAGCCTGGCAACAAGGCTGCTGCCAATCATATTGTTATTTGCAAGCAAAAGATTAAGCAAAACAAGGACAAGGAGAAGAAGTTATATGCGAATATGTTCACCAAACTGGCTGCTGGCGACAAAGAGGTACCATAATCCGTGCAGTCAACAAAACAAACAATAAACTGCCTTTTTTAATGTGTGTATGCAAATATTTAAATTGTTTTTTTTTTTTTTGTAATTTGCCAGACGGAACCGCCACGCGAAACGGACGTACTGGACAAGTGTGGTGAATGGTCCGAGGAGGATGCGAAACGCGAAGCTGATTTAACTTTAGAGCGCGACAATATCATTATGATTTAATTTATATGCACTCAGCTTGCGGCCCAATGCGCTATTTATGATACATACCAATATTATTATTAATGCTTGTAACCCCAAATTATGGAAATGAATGGTAATGAAAATAAATATATCTTGTATTCCTTAGATTTGTATCATATACGTTTACAATTAGCATTGGACGTATTATCACAGCTTACACAGTTTATTTACCAATTTCTTTCTCGCGCCGCATCAGCCTAAAATTGGGTTTCGGCTCCTTGTCGCGCAGCCACAATGGCGAGGTGGGCACCTGAGATTTGATATATTCTGATGCCTTGAAGCAGTAGCCGGAGCAGAACTTCTTGCGTTCAGTTATATCGTACACCTTATTCTTGGCAACACAGATTTGATACTGTTTCACAGGCACCCTAAATTATAAGATATTAGTATACAAACAGATGCAAGTCGATTGTCCTTACTTTTCCACAACCACATCACAGAGTGGATAACCACACAGCTTGTTAATGTGTCGTTCTTCGACAATATCTGCGTAGTTATCCGGCCCGATTTCAGTTAGCTGTTGTTAACCAAATTATATACACATACATACAGCTTTATTAATCAATATACTTATTTACCAAATCAAGAAACGTCTGCTCCTCAATGTGTGGCTCCAGGAGTGTGACAACTACTTGATGAGCTCTGGCGACTGCTGCTCGCTTTTTAACCACTGCCGCAATAAGTTGTTCCCTGCAATGGCCAAATAATACAATACAAATTAATTGTCTCACATATAAAAGATGAATTTACCGTAATTGTTGATTATTTTCCGTAGTCATATTTTGTTTATTTCATATGAGTACATTTAGTTGCCAACACAGATTATCGATAACACTTTGACGTGATTATTCACGGTACCCAATCATCGATAACATTCTACTGTGAACGATTATTCCTAATCACACAAACAAAACATTAAAGAAAATTGATATCTGCTGCAACACCTTAAAAGCACTTTTAATACAAATTATTGCACACTTTTAAATGGTTTGCGATAAGTGTGAGTCCAAATTGACGAAGGTCTCGGCGCCTAATCCTTGGCGAACTAGCAATGCAACTGCCGGAGGACGCAAAATCAATGAGAATAAAGCGCTCTCCTCTTCCAAGGAGCGCTACAATCCCATGGGCAATAGCTTGGCACCTTGCCGGTAAGCTCTCAACCATTCGGTCAGCTTCATCAATACATAATTTCTCGTTGGCAGCATATGCAGACAGAAGGTGCATCAGATGGGGGCGCACTATTGCCAGGCGTGTTCCTACAAAAAGGCGATCTGCGCAATGTGCGGCAAGAAGATACTGAATACAAAGAACTATAAGCAGAGCGCAACATAGCATCGGTTTGTGATTTACAAATTAGTTTTAAGTAAATAATATGCATTAATAGATAGTTCAACGTTTAAGCTTAGCACGCATAGAATAATTGTAATTAAATACTATAAACGTATTTGAAACTGGGGTCAACTCTCAGTTGATGATGTCTTTTCACGCTCCCGTCGTCGTTTGGCGCTCTGCACTGAGCTGGAGTAGCTGAGGGCATCCTTATCAAAGTCCATCGGCATGATGCCCAGATCGCCGCTGTAACGATTCTTGGCTACCTGGAGATACTTCTTGCCACGCACCGAGGTCAGCCGCTTGTCCTGTATGATCAGCACATTGTCTGCCTCCTGTGTGGCCTTTGCGGTGCCAAATACCGAGCTCGTTGTCAGCTCATCCTCCTGCCGTTCCTTGCGTGGATGCATGACCAGTGTAACGTGCACATTGTGTTTGGTGGCAAAGCCACGAAATGCTGCTATAATGGAGTCCTGTTCCCAAAACTTGTCGCCGCGATACGATGAAACGCCCATCATGAACTGTAAATTGTCTATAATCACATGGGAAATGTCGTGCACGTACTGGGCGTGCTCGATGGCCTCCAGCACTGGTTTGAGCGGCTGCTGGCCTTGAAAGGTCATAAAGTACATCGGGAGGCGATCAAACTCTGTGGCCCAGTGCTCAAACTCTTGCAGCTTATCATCCAGCGGATAGCCAACAAATTGGCGCAACAGTGTCGCAGCCAGCCGCGTGTTGCGTATTTCAAAGGAGCCCCAAAGTGTGCTGACACCCTGCATGGCCAGATCCAGCGAGTACTCGCTGGTAAAGGTCGTTTTCCCGCTGCCCGTAGGCCCCGTCAATATGGTAAGCTCGCCCTTGCGATGGCCCCTAAGCAGCTTGTTGAGCACCGGAAACCGTTTCCATTTGACACCGTTCACCTTCTCGATGTTCTGCAGCTCACTCAAAATGTCGTTGCGCAGGGCATTGAATGTGGTAATCGATTTGTGCCGCACAGGCGTAGCCTTGGCCAATATGTGGCGCACATTGAGCCGTCGCTTTAGAGCCAAATGCGGCGCTGGCTCCGTTTCGGTGGGCCGTATCAACAGGCAGCGTCTCTCGTCCATTTTCTGTGCAAACGCGCGTGCCGCATCCCAACTGTGCGTGGCATCATAGTGTAGCCAGAAGACCAACTCCTTGAAGCGCTCTAAGCCAGGCAGGCATTCTTGCGGCAGCAGATGCAAAGCATACGGCAGGCAGACGATGCAATCTGAAAAGTAAAAGTCGCGCATTAAATGAGAAATTCAATATTAATGTTAGCATTACGCACGTGTCTCAATGTTCTGCGTGGCCAGCACTATAAAGTCCAGCAGATTGCTCACCAGCACCGCCTTGCTCTTGTTCCCTGTGCCGTGTATTAGCAGACCAGAACTGGAGCTGCCCTGGAATGTCTGCTCGCTGCGGTCGCTCAGTCGCAGCACCTTCTCGCCCACCACCAGGTGGGCCGCATTGCGCAGCTTAAAGTGCAGCAGCTGCTGGTCGGGTTCATACATTGCGCCAATGGCATTCAGCTGAGCCTCCTTCAAGCCCCGCAGACCGAGCGCTTCGCAGGCCTCCGTTGGAACATTCACCAAATTGGGGAAAAGTGATGCATATTCCGGTGTCTTTTTTGGCGCGCGCTGATAGCCTGACGGCGCCGGTGTCTGGTAAGCCCTGGCGGCATTCGCTAGGGTAAGTTTAACATCACAATTGGGACAAATAAAGGCGCCTAAAAATAACAGCATGTTAATAAATCATAAGCATATTTCTACATAAATGCAAACAGTGCGCAAATGACGTCACAGTTCCTGCACTTAATGTTTTTTGTTTCCACCATTACATTACATTTCTGTAAGTCGTTAACATAAAGCATACCTGTTTTCTTGTTTATGTAAGCTAGCGGGCCCTGTGCACGCGTTGTTGCCGTCGCCGGCATTCGCTCGCATAGCCGGCATTCCAGTTGCAAGCACGTGTGTCCATCCTTATTGTTAACATTTTGCTGTCGCAATTGTTTCTTAAAATCAATATACTCTTTGGTGTCAAATACGTATTCTTCAGATTCGGCGCTCGTTGCATAATGTCGTCCTGGTAAGCGTCTGCTTTTATTTACGCGCAACAGCAGCGGTTTAATTAAACCGGCGAGTCTCATGGCACAGGGCGACTCGTGCGCATCGCTGCCATACAGGGTGTAATGATACGAGGCGCACAAACGAGTTCCTTTTGAAAATGTTCGTTTCAAATTAAAATTGGCACCGCAAAAAGCAATGGTATTTGCTTTCTACCCAACATTTAATGTACAAGTACATACGTACATATTCTAAATATAAACTCATCTACATATTAGATGTGTGTTAAATCAAGCTTAAAAGCTACTGCATAATGCTCAGCTCATTTATACTGAACACAAAGACAATTTTTTTGAATACGTTTATTGAGGTACATGCCCCTATTATGGGCGTATAATATATAATATTTTTATTGACTAACAAACAAGATGCCCAGCCTGAAAATATGGCGCGCGTCTTTCTGCAAATTAAATATAAGAATTCAATTAGATATAAAAGGCGTACATGCTTGTAAACAATAAATATTTTAAGTGCTTGAATCAGACACCTAAGGCCATCTTTAAGTGAATTAACACTTTCTGGTGGAAACCGCAAAAGGTAATTGAATTAATCATCATTTAAGCACCTAAGATTTTATCCAAAAGAATTTAATAAAATATGTACCTCAAACGAAGCCGAATAATGCGCCGTGTTCAATATAACCTCACTTAGGTCAGCCAGTCTGCAAAGAGTTGTAAATACATATTAACAAAATTTTTCCAAATAAATAAGTTGCGTATTAAAGTAAATATATCAGTTAGATACAAATCAACATGAGTAATCTCAGAACAGGTCTGTGTTTAAATCATCATAGTCACACAAAAAACTACATATAGTATATATTTACCATTTCTGCAACATTATTGCCATCTGCATGCATTTACGAACCGGTAAATCGCCATACGCCATTTTGTTTTCAGAGGCGACTACATCCTTCCAGACATTTTGCATATGCCTAAAAATTAAATTTAAAATAACCATTAGAATAATGAAATTTAGGTGAATTTCATTTAGAAGGTTTAGATTCAGTTTACATCGAATTCCACATGACTTTTACTCAGTACAGGTCTGTGTATAAGTTCATCACGTGCTTCTATAGAGAATAAATTTGAGGTATATTTCTTACCTTTTATTGTTCAACCATTTAAATGTGCGTCCACATTATGTTCATATTACGTATTCAACCCTGCAATACATAGAAATTAAACTCATGTTAGTTTTTTCAACCTCACTTCAAAATGCATTTGAATAAAATTGTGCCATCAGATTGCCGATTCATCTTAAAATGAACAAATATTGTTCGAAATTACGTCGAAATATACAACATAAAATCGAGAAAATGTTCCTTCAGTCTCGTCATCAGTTTCATCATTTGTGGCCATAACTTTTTATTTAATTTTTGCGTTTAGTAAAAATTGTTTAACCATAACTCACCATCTTTTACAAAATGTTCAATCCAAATGAAAGATGAAAGCACGTGGCACAAGCAAGAAAACTCTTGATTTCACTTACGATATTATCAAGTATGCATTTGGTTACTATCGATTGATACGTACAATGTTGCATTGGACTAGTGTTTAAATCGATAGGTTTTGCAACTCTGCGCAAACAGCTGAACAACACAAAATAAACACGTGCGGTTGCATTACATTTGACTTTATAATTGTTTACATTTTGTTGACACATTACAAAATATACAATGGTAAATATGTTCGTTCGTTTATAAAAAAGTTCAAAATAAAACTTATTTCCACTTATATACTTTTAGGGTAAGCAAAAGAAGACAAAAAAGATACAGAAACAGCGAAATGCACAATTGAAGCGTCTGATGAAGCCCACCGATTCCCGGATAAAGGAGCAAGCACGCCAAAAACGAAAAAAGCCAACCGATCCTCACGATATGAAAGTCCATGAAGCGACACAGCAGAGCTCGGCACTCTTTTTCCAGTACAACACACAGCTGGGACCACCCTATCATATCGTGCTCGACACGAATTTCATTAATTTTAGCATTAAAAATAAGCTGGATATAGTGCAGTGCATGATGGACTGTCTGTACGCCAAGTGCATACCATATATATCGGATTGTGTGCGCGCCGAGCTGGAAAAACTGGGCAACAAGTATAAATTGGCTCTCCGAATCATATCCGATCCCCGTTTCGAGCGTTTACCCTGCTTGCACAAGGGCACCTACGCTGACGACTGCTTGGTCGAGCGAGTGCGTCAACACAAGTGCTACATTGTGGCCACAAATGATAAGGACCTGAAGAACCGCATACGCAAGATACCAGGCGTTCCAATCATGTATGTCGCTGCGCATAAATACGCCATTGAGCGTATGCCCGAGGCTTACGGTGTTAAAGCGTAGTCCAAGTTATAAAGATATCTTACATCTATTATTTGTAATGTTTTTTAATATATAAGCATTAAGAAAAACTACATATTTGTTTTTAAAAATATCTTGAAAACCCAATTCAAGTCAAGATCTCTTCCCATGGGAGAAATATTCAACAGCAATTAAATCCACAAAATATATTATAGAAGTTTTGTTTATTCAAAAAATCTGGTTCACGATGATCTTAGGCATCGGCGTGCAGGCGAGCCGTTGGCTTCGACAGGAAATCGGAGTATGCCTGGTAGGGTGTGGAGCCCAGAGGCATTTCCTTCCACAAGTCCGGAGTCAGGTAGGCGTATGTCTTGGCAATAGCAGCATAGGTAGCCTTGGCGAAGTTACCCAAGGTACCGGTTGAGCCACGAGCGGAGGTGTAGCAATCCTCAATGCCAGCCATGGTCAGCAGCTTCTTTGGTACGGGAGCTGAGACAATACCGGTACCACGGGGCGCTGGGATCAGACGCACCGATACGGAACCGCACTTGCCGGTAACCTTGCAGGGCACGGTGTGGGGCTTGCCGATTTTGTTGCCCCAGTAGCCACGACGCACGGGCACAACAGACAGCTTAGCCAGGATGATGGCACCACGGATGGCGGTTGCGACTTCCTTGCTGCACTTGACACCCAGACCGATGTGGCCATTGTTGTCGCCAATGGCAACGAAAGCCTTGAAACGTGTGCGCTGACCGGCACGAGTCTGCTTCTGGACGGGCATGATCTTGAGGACCTCATCGCGCAGAGCAGAGCCCAAGAAGAAATCGATGATCTCGAACTCTTTAATGGGCAACGAGTAGAGGTAGATCTCCTCAAGTGACTTGATCTTGCCCTCGCGCACCAGACGACCCAGCTTGGTCACTGGCACCCACTCCTTGGAATCTTCCTTGCCACCACGACCGCGTGCGCCACGTCCACGGCCACGACCACGTCCACCACGACCACCGCGAGAGCCAAATCCACCTCGGAATCCACTACGGGCTGGAGCTGCGTCCGCCATTCTGCAATTGGAATAAAAACAAACATCTTTAGTATTTGTTAGGTTAGGAACGGCCACTTATAATCGATATTGACTTTTTTCAATTTGAAGTGCTTGAATCAGACACCTAAGCCCATCTTTAAGCGAACTAACGCTTTCTGGTGGAAACCGCAAAAGGTAAGTTAAATAATCATCATTTAAGCACTTCAAAATTGGTTCACTTTTTCAGGTGCGTGTGCACCTCCGCCATTTTGGAACACGTGGTAAAATGCATACTTCAATTTAATATTCTCAGTTGGATTTTCAGTTACAAGTGAAAATCAATAAACTGCATGACTAATTTTAACGCACGAATTACCAACATACTCAAATAATTACACTTTATGTATGTATTAAAATTTAACTTTATTAAATCGACTTACTTGTAGTTGTATCAACTTTATGGGGTGAAGACAAAAACCAAATGAACGAGATACTCTCATCGCAGCCAAGGCGAACCCATCGTTAGGGTTGCATTTCATCGATATTTAATTTACACGAATCCTATCGATTGTCACTCGTTGGCGCTCTCTCGCTTGGTATCGGTAACTTAAGTAGCCAACTCGTTAGTTTTAAGCACATAAGCACCCGTTAAATTCAAATCTTGGCTTTGTCAACTAAATAAATATTTCCTAGAGCATGGTCGAAATAATATTCCAAAATATGTTCATTTCTCCCTCTCTCTCTCTCTCTCTCTCTCTCTTATTCACTCCTTCTTACATCTAGTGAGGGAAGCTTTCGCTTTATTATGTTAAACCTCTTATAAACCTCTATATGCATCCTTCTTTTTTTGACTAGTAGTAGTATTTATTACACATAAATAATATGGATTCACATAGTATAAATTGAGCCTTACATAGGCAGAATCATAAGTTCTACCAGAGTGGGACGCGTGATTGTAAATGAGCTGCTTTCCACAAATGTCGCCGAATTGGGCTGGTAGAAATGTGCGTGTATAATTATTATGCCTGGGTGTTAGTCGATCTATCTAGGGTTCCGAAAATAAATATTGCTTATGGACTATGGTACTGCGCGGAGTACGATAAATAGTTGCGTTTTGCACTGAGGACTGCGCCTAAATGCAATTCGACCACAATAATAATGTCTGGTTACTTATTGCAACAAATTGCGTCCGATTCTCAAATCCCGTACCGAGCCCGAACTAATTGTTGGTGTGGGTGTAGTAGAGCACAGAGTTGCCGGGCAACTGCCAGTGGGAGGCCTTCAGCTCGATCAGCTGGAGCAGGGTTCGGCGTATGGAGGCGGCAGCATCGCCGGCATTGAGGAACGCATCGCGCACCAGGGACATGAGCAGCTCCAGCTGCTGCGGCAGCTGCTGCTCCATATCCTGGCCAATGCAGGTCAAAACATAGAACAGGCACTCAATCTGCAAATGGCAAATCTCTCACAACTGTTGCTCAGCGAGCTGAATAGAATCAGGGAAACATACCTCGGATAGGGAACGCACGGGAGGACGCACACAATCCTCGCAGCACTTGGACAGCAGGCTGAGCAGCACCAGCGGTGGTGGGGTGCCCTCGCTGTGGGTGCGCAGCTGCAGCTGACGGCGTTTCAGCTGGCAAAACATTTCCGTAAGAAATGCCATGAAAGCCGTAAAGCGAACCCGCGACGGCGACTTCATGCCCTGAATGGCGAACAGCAGCTGCAAAGGGAATCCAGTTGGAGTTGCAGTTGCAATTGCAGTTAGGGGTTGGCCTACCTTTTCGCGCTCCTGATACCACTGGCGGCATGTGTTGAGCAGCGCCTCGAGAAACGTCTCCTTCTGCTCCTTGGCGATGATATTGAGGCAGAGACGCGATATGGGCAAGGCGAAGCGTCGACTCTCGACGGCGCGCTTGATGAACTGTGACGTCAGCTCCATGAGGCAGCGGGAATTCAATTTGTTGGGATCCTCCAGAGCCGTTTCGATCAGTGCCTGTATTTCCGGCGTAAACTGGCCAATGTCGGCCACCTCGTTGCCCAGGCCCAGACCCAAGCCGGCCAAGCCACGTGTCAGCGCATCGGCCGAGGACAACGACTTGGAGCGCTGCAAAGCGGCTCCATTTTGATAAGGATCGATGCCATTCACTTGATATTGCTGTTGCTGTCCATTATGGTAGTGATTCATATTGTTATTGTTGCCGTACTGATTGTGCTGCGCCGACTTCTGTGCCCGCGTCTCCGGCGCGAACTTGACACGGTTCGTCGACTAAAATGAGAGAGAATTTATTTACTATTAACTTTTAAAGCCGAACCGAGCTGTCATGTGTTGTTTTACGTGAAGTATGTTGCCGCTGGATGGTGAATTCATGAGCGGTATTTGTCCAGCCATCGGATGCGTCACCAAGATGGAACGATGCTGGCCACCCTTGAGGCTGTTCAGTGCGGGCATGTTGCCCAGCGATAGGCCCGCCTGGCGTCTGTTGAGGATCGCATATTGCTGCTGCTGCTGCTGCTGTTGCTGCTGTTGCTGCTGGAGAAGATTAGGCCCGCCGCCAGCCATTGGGAAGATGAGGGACGAACTGGAAGAATGTTGTAGATTGTGGTTTAGCTCTGCAAGAAGACGGCAAGAGGGGTAAAGTTTGGCATTAAAAATGTGTTGGCGTTACCGATTACTGTTAAGTGCCTCAGCCGCTGGCGTTGCACGTGTGTTGCTCGTCATTGTGAACTCCTGGGCATTTATGTTCAGTTTGTTCGAGACACACCCACCACCACCAGCACCAACTGTGCCACCTGTGCCACCAGCAGCAGCATCGCTGGCTACCTCGGAGTCGCGCACATCTGACAAAGTTTAATATTGTTGTTGCCATTGTGGGACAATTTAAAGATACACACAAGTGAACATAAACATAAGTACGGGTATGTGATGAATTTATTTATTTGGGTTTCGGGGGTTGCGAATTTATCAACAATTATGAAAAGAAGAAGAAGAGGAAGAAAGAAAACATTGACCAATTAAATTGTGTAATGTAATTTATGCATTCGCAGTCTATAAAATGCGTAGCTGATGTTAAAGCAGCTGCCAAGCAAAGGCAATATTTTCTATATTTATTTAAATAAATTTTGTAAATTTCATTTAAAAAAAAAAGCTTAAGAACTCTGTACCAATCATTGCCTCAATTTCTAGTATGAATAACAAAGGGTTGAATGTACGAATGGCAAAAAATATGCAAGAATTTATCAACACAATTCAAAAATGAACTTCTATTTTTTTTTTTTGAAAAACAGAGAGTCAGCCTTAAAATGATGCGAATCTACCAAAAAAAAAACTTTAGACAGTCACTGAATTTTTATATTATTTATATTTTATAATGCTCATAAAGTTATTATTAATTAAAAGAATATGTTTTATTTTCGCTATCTGAACTTTGTGTGAACGCATTGCAAATCAACAATTTTGTAAATGGGCAGCACTTTATCGGCGAGCTGGCAGGACTGGACAACATTTTTCTTGTAGTGCTGCCAAATGTGTATCGTATTGCAAAGTGGCAACACTTTTATTTCCTTCACTTAATCTACAAACATGAGAAGGGAAAAACTAAGCAAAACTAACAAAAAATGAAGGAATTGCATTGAGAAATGATATTAATTGTTTTCTTATTCCAGGCAATAAAACGAAGTAAAATGTTTTCCTCAAAACAATGTATATTCAAAAGCTTCTTTAGACAAAAAAAAAAGAAGGACAACTTGTGAACGAAAGAGTTGATATTTAGTAAAAAGGCAAAGCTTAGAGGCATTTTATAGATGATATACATATATGTATATGGGGGGGAGACTTACTTGGAGGTCTGTATATATCCATTGCGGGCTTGCCACGCATTTGTCCAGGCTGATTTCCAGGCACGTTGAACGCCAGACTGCGCCTTTTGTTAATGTTCTACAAACAAAATAGGTAACAAATGTGTGTGTGTGTGTGTGTGTGTGTGCTTGTGGACTTACCTGTTGATTTGAGGTGCGCACAAAGCTGCGCTCTCTGGATATGACACCTGGCATTATGGGTTGAAAATCGGGCGATTTGCGCACCTTTCGAGCATCATTCTGTTGATTATTATTAAATGTGGCTGCTGAGATTTCCACTTTTTCTGCCATTGTTGCTGCTTCTTCTTCTTCTGCTTCTGCGTTAAACTAATTGAGAACCCTTATCTTTGGTTTTTGTTAATGTTTTTTTTTTTTTTTTTGAAAAACTTGAATTAATCACGTATCCGTCTGTGTCTCCTTGAAGATCGGAATACTTGAATTAAACGCTTATATATGTTTTTTTCAATATTTGAGTAAAGTTGTACATATCACAATTCTTTTCTTTTTTCTTTTTGTTATATTTTGTTTGTATTTGCTTCACTTTAATACAATTATCTAGGCTTAATTGGCTTTCGTAGTCTTATATGCAAGACAAATAATATTTATTCCTTTTATAAGTATTAGCGTGGTCTGCAAAAGAGAGAGAGAGAGAGAGTCTGATTCATTATCCATGAATATATTAATAAATAATTAAGTCAGTCTAGACGAACAGCTTTAGCTCAAGACAGTCTGTCATTTCTTGAACAACTGCTGCAAGAGAAGACTGAAGCATAAACTATTTGCGCTCTTGATCCAATATCGTGCTTATATATATATATATATATATTTTATTTATTTATGTACTTCGTAGGCACATCCACAGTCTGTTAACCGGCTCTGCGGCTGCGCGTAGGAGTGCATCTGGTTTCGAGACCGCGCTTGACATGACATCAGCTCTGAGCAATTTTGTCTAATTTCTCAGCTTTTTAAGTATCCGTAAATATGAGTGTGCCTTTGTGTGTGTGTGTTTTTTTTTTAAGCTATTTTCGAATTGTCGAAATAAACAAATCCCTGCCGCGACAGCTAAACACAACAATGTTTTTTTTTTTTTGTAAATAAACAAACTACAAATTCGAGAAAAATGTATTTTAAAAATAACAACAAATTAACTAAATCGAACTTAGAGTCTAGTCAAAAAGAGTTAAATACATTTTATATTAATAAATTAATTTTTTTTTTAGAGAATCTGTTCACTTATATATTAGATATTAGTTTATCTTTTTCTTATAATCGGAGCTTAAGATTTTTCATTTTTCCAATAATTTTAATATTTAAGAAATTTAATTTTTAACATTTTTTAATTTAATATCAATAGTTTTATCTATGAATTCTAATAAATTTATTATAACCTTTTAGAATTTTACTTGACACGCAGTTTGTTTAAAATTTTAAACAAAAATTAAAAAAAAAAAATCACAAAATAACTTTTGCCAATGAATTGAGAATTAATCTAATGACTGTCAGAATATGAAAATGTTTTTCATTGGCGTTTTTGTAGTTCCTCTTTGACTAGTCTCAAAGTTATCGCAAATTGTTTTGAAATTGAAATTGTTGTCGTTTTGTTAAGAGCTTGAAATATGTTTTCAAACTTCGTTAAAGTCCATTGAAAGAAGTGCGCCTAAGTTTTAATTTGTTATCATTTTAATTGATTCAAATAAAAAAGTCCAATTGAATGTGTCTAATTTAAAGGCATTTAGCTTTTAGCCAGAAAGCCTAGCAAGCATTACCCGGCGCTACGCGGCAAGTACAATTTATTAAAGATTTTAAACAGCTCTGAAAATAGTTTTGAAGTTGATTAAAACCTAATTTAAAAACATTTAAAATTGAGTTCGATCCGATGAACGATACTCATTGATTTTCCACGCATTTAGGTGGAATTTTGTCATAAAGTTGAAATTTGAGTGCTTACCTTTTAATGCAATATAAAATTGATCCAATAATTTGTTTGGTTTTCGTTGCTGTTCAGCTTTTGTTAAACTGCCTTCACACTCTTTTGCTTTTTTGCCAGCTAATTCGGTATCTCTCTTCCAAGTTTTTTTTAGATTAAATATCGTCGTTATGGGTTTCGCGTCGTCGTCGTCGTCGTCGTCGTTGTGATTCGTATAGATATGTGTTTATTCATTAACTTTATAGATACGCTCTTCGTGTGTCGTTTAATTATGCTCGGCACATACGCTAGCAATAATAATTCCAAAACAAAAATTATTATTATTTTTTTTTATTTTTAATTATAATTCACAGTCGAGCATTGTGAATGCCATCTAGACAAATACATGTAGATGAGTAAATGTGAGTTCTTCGCTTAGTTTTTGGTTCGTCGCACTCTCAACACATGCACACAAGCACACAGACACAAGCATACACACACACACACACACTCTCAGCGGATCAGATACAGCGGCGCAGAAACAATTGATGATTGTCTTGTTATTCTTTACAGTTGCTGCTGTTTTTATTGTTGTTAGTGTTTCACGAGCAGCTGTTTACGCGTTGGATGAGTCAATGATCGGGTGTGAGAGGGGGTAGAGGGTGGGGCAGCCGGCTGCGACTGCGACTGCGGCTGCTGGTAAGTATACGCACCGTTGACGCTGGCGTCGTCGTTAGCTGCGCCTATTTTTGGTTTGTTGCTTTGCGCTTGTTCTTAGCTCGTTGTCAATTGTTATAGTTGTTGTTGCTTCTTCTTCTATTTTTTTTATCTTGGATTTGTTCGCGTAATTTTCGTTTCTTTTTTTTTTTTGTATTTTGTTGTTTTATTTCTGTTTTTCGTTTTTTTAGATCGCTCGCTAGTTCTCTTGGCTATTACTCACACACACACACACACGCGCGCGCTCTCACACACACTCAGATACGGTATATGGCCTGGCATGTGAAATAAGCATAGATATTAATTTATTTTTATGTTTTGCTCTTGCACGCGCTTTTGTTTTTCTTCAAATTCTGCGTGATATATGTATGCATGTATCATTTATAATTCTATTCACTTGCGATTTATTCACATGTGCCGTATACTATACTATTTATATATATAATATTCATATATATGCATGCTATATGTATCTAGACTCTATACATACATATATATGCAGCGGAGGTGCGGCTATATTCTTCCGTTTCCGCAAAGGTGGACGCGGTATGACGTCGTTTTTTTTTGTCTTTCTATTTTTTTTCTTCTTGCCTTTGGTTAACAACAAATATTGCTATTCATATGGATGGGTATTATTTGTTCGTATTGGACCAATATGATTTCCGTTTGGCGAGCGCTCTGCTATTTATAAATATATAATTCGGCTTGTCTTCTGAACGCCCAAAAACTGATGTATGTATGTATGTATGTATCCATGTATGTATGTACTCAATATGAATCACATAATAGCGAACGAGTCGTTAGAGCAAAATAGAATTTACTAACTCTGCTGCACATTCTCATATAAATACATACGTATGTATATATGTATATATATATATATATATATGATTTTTAATCACATAAAACTTTCGATTTTTACTGCATTTATTACAGGCGTTTCCTTTCGTTGCGCTAAATTTGTTCGTTGTTTTTTTCTTTTTGTTTGTTTGTTCTATTTTAATATTGCAAATTGTTCAAATTTATTGATTCGCACATATATGTCGATATGCATGTATATATTATGGTAATGTGATTATCGTTTTGTTAGCTACACTTGACGCAGGGTTTTATTTTATTTTCTCTGTGGTACAAAATCAGCGTTTAAACTTAAAAATTAAATCATCGGCGCGAGCGATCAGTTAAGACTAAAACTTGATGAATCGCCGCCGCACCGAAAAGCTCTTCATAACACACTCTGTATGTGATCTCGCGCAAAGAGAGCGAGCGCGAGAGAGGAGCGTCTCTCTCTCGCTCTCGTTTGAGGGTTGTCGAGTTTGCGCTTAACTGGATGATTCAAAAGTATTTGTCAGCGGATGAGCACATAAATCAAAAGTAGTATTTTAATTGACTTCATCTATTGTTAAACAATTATGCATGTGCATATTTTAGAATAACTCAAATAATTGTAGCTACTTGTTATTTATGATTTCTACAGTAAGTATGAACATATCTTTTCTACAGCCAAAAGCAGTATGAGTATGTTTTTTTTGTTTAAACAAAACTTTATGCTGAATGAAAAACTATTCCCTTGCCGCACTTTACAGACATTTCAACATTTAACTTTAAACCCCATTTCGAATAGCCAATATCTGAGCTTAAATTTGAATATATTTTAATTTATAATTTAATACAATATTGATTCTTATAAATACACGCAAATGATATGAGCAAATTGCCCGCCAATAATTTAAGTATACATTTAAAAAAAAGTAAATGAAACGCTACAAAAAATAGTGTTCTTGGAAAATGGAAAGTGTGTCGCTATAGCGGCTGTTTTAACAAACTACTTTGTAGTTGCTGCCAAGGAGTTATTCAATGAGTTGTTCAATTGCTCCTCCTCATCCTTGTCCAGACCCAATGCCATGGTTAACAATTTGACTACGCAACGCTGTTCGTGCACCTCGCCCTTCTCGGTGGATGTAATATCCTTTTCTAGTTTTAGCTTCTCTTCGGCAGCCATCAAAATGCCCTCCTCAATGGTGCTCTCCGATATTAAACGGTATATGGTGACTGGACGACTCTGACCCATGCGATGGCAGCGATCCTCAGCCTGTTTGTCATTGTAGGGATTAAAATCAATGTCGTGAATTATGCAGGTGTCCGCTGCGGTTAAATTGATGCCCACACCGCCGGCTTTAGTGGATAACAGAAATACAAATATATTGTCATCGACATTGAAATCTGTGATCAGATCCTGTCGCTCTTTAACAGCGGTGGCACCGTCCAATCGGCAGAATCCATGCTTCCGTATCCTTAAATATTCTTCCACAACGTCCAGCATCATGGTAAACTGACTGAAAAGCAGCACACGATGTCCTTCGGCCTTCAGTTTTGGCAATAGGGTATCCAGATAGAGGAATTTTCCCGAATCACATATCAAACTATCCGGAATCTTGACATCGTATAGTTCCTAAAAGGGAATGCATTCGTTAGACATATATATTTATATACCTGCTTTCTCGCGACTTACATATTTGTTGCACAGTTGATAGACTTGAAAATCGGACATAATTGCCAATTCCTCGAATATGTACTGCTCGTTGGTTTTCTTGTAGGAATTGACGCGCGCCAGCCGCTTCGAAAAGCCCCGCAACTGCTCGTCTGAGAAATAGTGACGCATTAGCAGCGGATGATTGGCCATGCGTCGCATTTCCATCATAATTGCCACACCGGCACGATCGCTGCTGCCACAGATCTCGCCCTTGTTGTTTGAATAATATTCCACCAACTCCTTATAGTATTGCTTTTGTGAGGCGCTCATTGGAACTTTTTCCTAAAGATTTAAGAAAAAATATATATAAGTTAAGAAAAATTCCAATGCTCTGCTTAGGTTTGCAGCTTGGATTTTGAATGCTTACCACACAGCTGTGCTTTTTGGGCAAATTGTTCAGCACATCCTTTTTAAGACGTCGCAGCACAAACGGTTTCATAATGCGTTTGGCGCGTTGCACTTGTGTCTCCTGGAACTGTGACACTTCCTCTTGATCGCCATCGGTTTTGTTCTTCTGCAAGATATCAAAAGCGAGATATAAAAAAAGTAATGCTAAATAAATACACTTGTTACGCACCTTGACAAACAAAGATTTGATGTCCTCAATGCTCTTGGCAAAAAATTTGGGCATCACAAAGCACAGCAACGAGATCAACTCAAGCAGATTATTCTGCAGCGGCGTGCCCGTAAGCAAAATGCGCATTTCTGCATTAATTGTGATCAGATTGACGTAGCGCTGAGTCGTCATGTTCTTCAGCATGTGGGCCTCATCGAAGATGACATAATGCAGCTTGCAAACGCGGAACATCTTTCGCTCCTCGGGCGTGGATCCAACTATATGGTAGCTGGCAAGATACAGATAAAGCAACGGCCTAATAAACTTGTAACTGCAATCGCTTACGTGGTCAGAAGAACATCAAAGCCGGTAAAGCCATCTTTGGCGAAGCGTACGCGCATCCTTCGTCGCTCGTCCTGAGAGCCATGATATTTTTCGACTACCAGACTGGGACACCATTTGGCGATTTCCGCTTCCCAGTTGTCCAGCGTTGACGAAGGCACCACGATTAAGTGTGCTCCCTTGCTGAGGCCGTTTTCCTTCAGATAGGCCAGAAACGCAATAACCTGTATGGTCTTGCCCAGACCCATCTCGTCCGCCAAAATGCCATTCATTTCCTGCTTATGCATCACAGTGAGCCAATTAAGGCCTATTACCTGGTAGTCGGCCAATTGCAAACTGTAACAGATCCGGAATAGGTTAGATTCATCCTAATTTAAGTTGCATCAAAAAGTTCTGGGACTGAGAGATCAGTTGGCATAGGAACATAATTTTCACGAAGCATTTCTTTACAAAATTATAATATCCTATCACAATTGAATTATCTTTGAGACATACGAAAAAGCTAACAGAAATGGACACCCACTTGCTGCTTAGAATCTTTGGCTGCTCCACAATGCCAGCACCATTGGCAATGGCCGTTTCCAGGCGTTGCACCATACCGTTGCACTTGCTTAGAATGGTTGCAACCGTATTCTGTTTGTTGATCAGATCCTGTGCGTAGTTAAGTAGATCTGCCGATAGCCGGTTGGCCTCCAGTTTCTGTCGCAAATCCGCCCAGTCGCTGAATGGTCGTATCTCAATAAGTACTGTTGCCTTCTTCTCCGAGAGCGTCTTCACCGACTGCAGCTCAATGATGCTGGCCGTGTTCATGAATTGGAACACCTTTTTGCGCTGTCCGGTCATTTTGGTGGACATTTCGGTGTCACTGTCGTCGCTGTCGTACACCTGATCCTTGGATTGCTTGACATCATCATCCGAATTATCGTAGTCCGAGTAGTTGCCACTCGACTTGCCATGCGCCTTGGCCCCACTCCCATTCGTGCTCGGCTTCAGTTTGGCCTTATCCAAGGGTCCATTTTGCGCTTTGGGCTTACAGTTTTCCTTCAGATAACGTGTTGCCGCTGCAACGTCCCAATTAGATCGTGCCAGCGAGTCTTGAATTGCCTAAAATATATATTAACTAATTAGCGAACTGTCACAAGACTGAACTACTAACTAAAATTTAAGAAAACAGGTAAACAAGATAACACTTTTAACAAAACTTTTCTAATAATAAATATTTCTTATAATTATAAATACAGCATTTATGTAAAATATTGAGCATGTGTTTTCATTTGAAAAGGACTTTTTGCGCCAATCAAAATCCTGACCTATAATTTCCTTAGCAACCCCTTGCCTGCGACGCCCCTGTGTCAACAGCTGTTCACAATGCCGGGCCCGAATCGCCATATTCCGAACACATGTAAGCGACGCGCGCGCTTTGCTCCCCGCACCCCGCACGCAAAAAAATATAAAAAGGAAAAATATAACCATGGGAAACGTTGCACTTACCATCGTATCGTAGTTTGGCATTATTTTTGCGGCCGCCATATAACGCTCTTCTTTTTCCTTGACGGTCAACACAAGTTTAGGCTTTTTTGGCGTTTGACAGTCTGCGCTGTCGCTGTCACTGTCGGCCATCACCTGGATGCGTTTCTTGCCAGGCACACGCTCTGAAATGCAACACAACAGTTGTATTGTTTAATATAGCATCCGTCAATAGAATAATATACACAATGCCTACCAGTTCTGCCCAGGCTGGCAGCTGCGGCAGCTGCATTTTTATTTATGCGAAACTGTCGCAAATCGTTCAAACTAGATTTTGAGACAGATGGCGCTTGGCTTTCCGACATGTCTGAGGCGAGCCGAATTGTAAACAATTGTTGACGTTTTATTTAGAAATAATAATTGCAATTAATGTACAATTTAACATTTACAGTACAAAAAATTTTCCTACAACTTTTGCATTCACAATTCACACAAATAATCAGTACTCGCAGTTGCATTACCGATGCCAATCGCAATCGATAACGATGTGCGTTCGCGACGCGAAACTGTTATCGGTGCGTTAGCCCTGTGGGCCAATCGAGATTTTCGCGACGCCCTGTGCAGCCCTCGTCGAATTTTTTCCACTTGTGCTAGAGAGGTTAATTGAGTATTTGTTTTTTGCTAAAAAAAAACTAAAAGACATTTTCCCAAGTTTGTTAACGAAAGTGAAACATCAAACATGGCTGGCGGCAACACACCGCGTGTTATACAGGTGACCAATATTGCGCCGCAGGCCACCAAGGATCAGATGCAAACGTTGTTCGGCAACATTGGCAAAATCGAGGAGATTCGACTGTACCCCACCATACGGGATGTCTCCTGTCCGGTGCAGTCGCGCATCTGTTACGTGAAATACACGGAGACGAGCAGCGTGCCCGTTGCCCAGCACTTGACCAATACCGTTTTCATAGACCGGGCGCTCATTGTAATCCCGGTGCTGGCCATACCCGAGGAGTATCGTGCACTGGAGATGCTTAAGAATGGCACCATTGTGCCGGGCTTGCAGAAACCAGACTCAAAATTGCCGCCGGAGGTAATCAATCGCATCGAGGGCCAGCTGCCGCAGCAGGTCATCAAGACGTACGATCCCAAGCTAGTGGAGTTCAATCTGCCCGAATATCCAGCGCTGCCCTCCTTCTACGATGCGCGCAAAATAGAAGAAATCCGGCGCACCATCATTGTGTGCGATGTGCGCAACGAGTGGCGCCTCGACGATCTCATGGAGTGCTTCCAACGTGCCGGTGAGGTCAAATACGCGCGCTGGGCCGAGAAGGACAACAAGACCTACTGCATGATCGAGTTCTGTGAGCAGACGAGCGTTATACATGCGCTGCGCCTGCAGGGCCAAGAGTTCAAGGGCGGCCATCTGAGTGTCTACCACTCGACCTACTCCATTACAAAGCCCGAGGCCAAGTCGAATGAGGCAGCCCAGGCCGAAATTGAGGAGGCCATGACGATTGTTAAGGAAGCACAGAGCATGATATCGGCCGCCATAGATCCCGTCATTGGCATGCTTGCCAAGGACAAGCGGCGACGTTCTCGCTCACACTCGCGTTCCCGCGAGCGACGCACCACCAGTCGATCCCGTTCGCATCGCTCCAGCTCACGTCGGCGCCGTCGCTCCGGCACTCGCGAGCGACGCAGCGTCTCCAGGTCCCGACGCTCGCGCTCTCGCGGCAAACACTCGTCACGGTCGCGCAGCAAACGCTCGCGTTCGCGTCATCGTCGCAGCAGCTCACGCTCGCGCCGCTCACGCTCGCGTGGCGGCAAGCATTCGCGTTCGTCGAGATCGCGCGGCAAGCGCTCCAGATCTCGACATCGCCGCAGCACTTCACGCACACATCGCTCACGCTCGCATGGAGGTGCAGGAGCCGGTGGCAGTGGCGTTGTTAGCGTTGGCAGCGGCAACGGCAAACGCTCCAGATCCCGTGAGCGCAGCAAGAAGTCGCATCGCGCCCGATCGCCACGCTCGCGCAGCAAACGCAGCTCCCCATCGCCGCCACCGCCGATCAGCAAATCGCGATCCAGCCGGAGCAAAGATGTGGCCACAATTTCAAGCAAGTCCTCGTCCTCGTCCTCCCGACGACGTTCGCGCACACCGGACACACGCAAACTGAAACCCATCTCGGAGGATATCGAGGCGAAGGCCCGCAAATCGGTCAGCGTTGAGAAGTCGGACAACATGGATATATCCAACTCACCATGAAGATGGAACAAGATCCTATAATATGAAAATACTTTGATAAGAAATACAAATCAATTAAAAACTAACATTACTTTTGCTATTTAATCAATATCAATGCCAATTTCTATTTGTATTGCGCTCCTCTGTCCTAGTTCCAAGTATAAAGTTTAATTCAAAGTCCAGCATTTACACATGTATGTTTATTTAAGTAAAAATATTCAATATACAACTCTAGCCTAAGTTAACACAAGTTTGCGACTCTTTATTTCAGGGCCAAAAATGGGGAGAGCTATTCCGATAAAAATTGTGAAAATTTAAGGTGTGAGCACTCACAAAGAACCCAAAAAAAAGCTTTCTAGCGTTTGTCACCCATTTCTCACATTTCTAGGTGAAATTCGCCAAAGCTCCGGATGCCGCACAAACAAATCGCAAATTTATCAGCTTAAAGAGATAAAAAATAATCGAATTGTTAACTTGAAGCTGACCTTATATTATTTTCAATTGTATTTTCAATAAATATATAAATAATACGTAATACAAGCTAATTTTGGCTAGAAAAAGGCTACAAATGATTCGCACTGTGCAATAAACAGCTGTTAGTTTGTTTGTTTGGCTTTTCTGCCGCCACAAAAGCTCTCTGCCGCGCGCGGCGGAGGCGGAGCTTTTACGCTCTACAAAATGTCGGCCGGCCGCAAGTTTGATTTCGAGTTGACGTCGAGCGTTTGTGGCCAGCGGTTCTTCTACAGGCAGCATAAGAGTTTCAGTCAGTTTTCGTATATATATATATATATATTAATTACAATTTCTTATCCGTTTACTCGATTGTCGCAACAAGTGCAATTTGTGCAAAATGTCCGCGGTAACAAAAGGTAACATGAATTGCATATTGTTGTCTTGTTTGTTTTTTCTTCGTGCGGATGGGCATCGAGAGTTTTGATATGCTAAATGTGAACTTTGGACCTGTTGCTGTGTTATCTGATGCCCGGCGGCCCCTTGGCCCGCCCCTCGCCCAGCACTAACTGGGCACCGGCAAGGGGAGCGAGCGTCCGCACTTTGGACCCGTTGAGCAAATAGACAAGATTTGCTTTAGTTAACATTTCCCAATTGGAATAATCTTCATATCTTACATATTTAATTGCTGTCTTCTAGGCATTTATATTGTGGCTGCCAAGCGCACGGCCTTTGGAACCTTCGGCGGCGCTTTGAAGAACATCAACCAGACCCAGCTCCAGACAACAGCTGCCAAGGCGGCGCTGGATGCGGCTGGCCTGAAGGGCGAGCAGGTGGACACGGTCATTGTGGGCAATGTGATTGCGGTAAGTGGCTGGCTGAAGCGGACTCTGGACCTTAGCTTGGCTAACTGAAGAAAAGTCCAATGAAAGTGAGACGAATTCTGCTCATCTTTTATTTGCAGTCCTCGTCCACAGATGGCATCTATGTGCCTCGCCATGTCGGACTCAACTGCGGCGTTCCCATTGAGAAGCCAGCGTTGGGCATTAATCGTCTCTGCGGCTCTGGCTTCCAGTCGATTGTGAATGGTGCTCAGGACATTTTGGTGGGCGGTGCCAAGGTGGCGCTCACCGGTGGCGTGGAGAGCATGTCGCAGACTCCGTTCATAGCGCGCAACATGCGCTTTGGCACCACATTGGGTGCCAACTACAATCTGGAGGATGCCCTGTGGGCGGGTCTGACAGATACCCACTGCAAGCTGCCCATGGCGTTGACTGCTGAGAATCTGGCCGATCAGTACAAGATTTCCAGGGAGCGCGTGGATGAGTTTTCGCTGCGTTCGCAAAAGAACTGGGAAAAGGGACAGCAGGAGGGCGCCTTCAATGCCGAAATTACGCCCATCAAACTGAAGGTCAAGGGCAAGGAGGTTGACTTTGTGGTGGATGAGCATCCACGGCCCAAAACCACCATCGAGGGACTGGCCAAGCTGCCGTCGCTGTTCAAGAAAAACGGCGTTGTCACCGCGGGCACAGCATCCGGCATTTGTGATGGCGCTGCCGCTGTGATCGTTGCCTCCGAGGAGGCACTCAAGGAGTACAACCTGAAGCCGCTGGCACGTCTCGTTGCTTTCTCGTTTGTGGGCGTCAAGCCAGAGATTATGGGCATTGGACCAGTGCCTGCCATACAAAACGTGCTCAGGGTATCCGGCAAGAAACTGGAGGACATTGACCTGATCGAGGTAGATCTCCAATTGCGTACACAATTATAGTTGGTTCTCAATTAAACGCTTTGCAGATCAATGAAGCCTTTGCCGCTCAAACCCTGGCCTGTGCCGATGCCTTGAAGCTGGATCAAACGAAACTGAATGTGAACGGCGGTGCCATTGCTCTGGGTCATCCACTGGGCGCCAGTGGCTCTCGCATCACGGGCCATCTGGTGCACGAGTTGCAGTAAGTAGACAAACTATTCCGGTTGTGAACTTCATTCATCTCCATTCATATATCGCTCTCTCTCTTTCTCTCCTCCACTCTTCGCAGGCGCAAGAAGCTCAAGTATGGCATCGGTTCCGCTTGCATTGGCGGTGGTCAGGGCATCGCCCTGCTGCTGGAGGCCGTTTGAGGCGAAGCCAGTTCTGCATTTACGATAAGATTAGATGTTTTGATTGAAATATATATAAACTTAAGGACTGATTATAAATAGTTTGTTTTTGTTTTGGGTTTTACAAATTTATTTAAACATTTTGCACATGGAAGTGTTTGTAAAGCTTTCTACAAGAAAGACAACATTTCATTATAAAACTGATATTTTCGAAATAGCTAAAATGTTTACATCAAGACAAGATGCGAGTATGATAAATGGAATCTGTTGCTCGCACTTTAAGGTAAGAATCTCTTAATGGGCCTAACAATACGAGTACATGAAATTGTTCAGTTCGTTTGGGCGCTGGTAGAGAACAACGCCAGGACACCGCTGGCCACGCCAATGGAGAAGATGTAGTTGACAAATGGCGTGGCATTCTTCAGCAGGAAGAAGCTGATGAAAATGATGATGGCCAGGTAGAGGGCGTTGTTATAGAAAATCGAGTATGTGGTCGCTTCATAGTCGGCAACCTCGTTCTTCTTCCACAGGATGCGTTCGTCCTTCTCCTTGCGCGTGACCTTCTTGTCATCGCCCAGCTGACGGTTGACCTCGCGGGTAACAGCCTCCTCACGGCGCACGGCAATCTTATGCTTCAGCTGGAACTTGATGTTCTTGTAGGCGGTGGCCATCAAATAGGTGCTAGCCGCAGTCACCAGCACAAACAAAATGGAGCTGGGCCACAGGTCCATGTTGTGAATGCGCCAGAACAGCCCTTAAAAGCATCAACATTCAGTTAGCGGGCAAGTTGGGAAAATCAACAACGTGTCACTATTCACAGGGCACTTACATATGGGCAGCGCGGAGACGATGAAAGCGTTGCCGTAAAAAATTGTCGCCGATTTCGTGGTGACATTCCGACTGAAGTCCTGCAGCAGCAGCTCCTCCTCCTTGGTGAAACCAGACGATTGCACTTTCTGTTGCTTGCCAGAGCCCATTTTTACGTGTATGTTTTGTATGAAACGCGCTAGTGAAAGTTACAGCAACGCAGCCAGGCGAACGAAGAATAAGAGTAAAGCGTACACGAAGGCAGTCGCATCGGCAAAGTGACAGCTGCGGCGTAGTGACGTGTAAGGTAAATGTCAAATAACAAAGTTGCTACGCGATATGAACCTGGCCAGTCTACACTTGGCGAACTGGTTCATGCACTTTAATGCTAACGTTCTAATGTTAGTTATCTTAAGTTAAAGTTAAAAATTCCTTACTGATTTCTAAACTTTTTCAATTAAATTTAAATAAATATATAGCTCTTTTAATATTAAATTATAACTTTCATTCTATCAGTGATTTAATACATAATGAAGCAGTTCAAATCCTTCAGCCCTGGCACAATCGTTGCGAATAATCGAATAATCAATAACAATAGAAGTGCAACAGGTTCTGTAACAGCTGTTTTAGTTAACAATTTGAATATTAAGGTAAATCAATTTAAGATTTAAATTTGTATAGTTACTTACATGCTTACCGCTTATCTTAAATAATTAAATTGAAGTTCAGATAAATTGTTTTCTATTATTAAATGTACTCACCTTATCAAAATTCCTTAATATGAGTCCGCGTCCAAAGGTCACTTTAAGATTTTGACATCTTTGAAATTATTTTTTTTAAGAATGATGCGTTCAAAGGTCTTAAGTCTGGTGCCCCGTGCCACAGGTGTGTGCAGGCATATGTCCACTGCCACAAAGCTGACCACTGTGGCAGTTGATGATAAAACTGGCATCGCTACCCTCACAATGAACCGGCCGCCCGTAAATGGTCTCAACCTGGATTTGCTACGTGATCTAAATCAATCGATCGGGGAAGTAGAGGGCAACAAAAGTCGTGGCCTAATATTGACATCGGTAAAGAGAATCGTTGATCTATCATGATTAGCTCATCAATTGTATTTATTAATTTTTAGTCAAATCCCACCATATTCTCCGCTGGTCTGGACATACTCGAAATGTATAAGCCAGACAAGGACAGAATTCGAGAATTTTGGACCGCTTTGCAGGACGTCTGGTTGGCCCTCTATGGCAGCAGTGTACCAACAGCAGCTGCCATTAACGTAAATAGCATAAAATCACTATAGAACATTGTAATTAATAATAATTTCGACAGGGCCATTCCCCAGCAGGAGGCTGTTTATTGGCCACATCCTGCGAGTATCGCGTTATGCTGCCAAAATTCACAATTGGCCTGAACGAAACTAAACTTGGCATCGTCGCACCCAAATGGTTTATGTCATCCTTCCTAAGCGTTCTGCCCCGACGTGAAGCTGAGCGTGCGCTCAATCAGGGTCGCATGTTTACCACAGAGGAAGCACTGAGTATTGGCCTGATCGATGAAGTTGCCATTAGCAAGGAGCAAGCCTTGGACAAGTGTGCACAGTTTATTGGTACATTTGCCAAAGTTAATCCGCTAGCTCGTTCGCTAACCAAGCAGCAGCTGAGGGCTGTTGAATTACAACAGTTGGAAAATGAACGTGCCCAGGATTTGGAAAGGTTTTTGTTCTTTGTAAACCAACCGTCTGTGCAAAAAGGATTGGGCATATATCTGGAAAGTCTAAAAAAGAAGGCCAAGAATTGAATTCGTTGCCTTTGAATTTGTAGCTATTCTCATATAATGTTTTTATACACACAATATATATTAAATATGTATATATGCCATTTAAAAGTTGTATCTGTAAATTTGTATTGGGCTTGTATCTATGGCTGGGTTCTTAACTCCGCTGAGTTGCATTGAAACGAGGGAATAGAACAAGTTTTGTTTCTTCTTCTTACTGAACGATCCACACATGGTACGTAGTTTTGCCGGCAGTGACGTCACAAGCGCTGAACACCCATAACAGCAATGTTGTGACGAAATGCCTAAAGTTATCAAAGTGTGCAAATTAATGACCTTGTTTGCTATGCTATCATGTGATCAACAGTGCACAAAATGCTGCGTAGCCAAACAAAACTCATGGATATGGGCAGGCGCCAATTGCCTCGCCTGCACAGATCCATGACAAAAGCATCCAATCTCACCGTGGTGGAAATGGACGACAAGACGGGCATTGCGATGCTGACATTGAACCGACCACCTGTAAACAGTTGCAACTTGGAGCTGCTGCAGGAACTACACGAGTCCATTAAGCAGATCGAATGTAACAAAAGTCGTGGCCTAATACTGACATCGGTAAGATAGCTTACGGACTACAGCAGGGGCTTTATATTCTTCTTGTTTAACAGTCCAACGATAAAGTCTTCTCCTCCGGTCTGGATCTCAATGAATTGTACAAACCGAACCAAGAGCGTCTGCTGGCATTCTGGTCAACGCTGCAGGACCTGTGGCTAACTCTATACCAAAGCAGTGTTCCTACAGCAGCGGCCATCAATGTAAGTTCAATTTGAATAATGAGTTATAGGATCATTTGGTACCCTTCTCTCTCCACGCAGGGTCACGCACTTGCCGTTGGTTGTGTGTTGGCTGCAGCTTGCGAGTACCGCGTCATGTTGCCGGGCTTTAGCATTGGCATCCATGCCACGAAATTTGGGTATGTGGTGCCACCGTTTATAATGATGTCCTATCTGAGCGTCTTGCCGCGTCGGATCGCTGAACGAGCGCTGCTGCAGGGCAAGCTCTTTACCACAGAAGAAGCATTAGAAGTGAATCTCATCGATGAAGTGGCCGATAGCAAGTCGGAAGCTCTCTGCAAATGTGCTGAATTCATTGGCAGCTTTGAGAAGACACAACCGGAGGCCAGAGCACTGACCAAGCGACAGTTTCGTGCGCCAGATGTGCAGCTTTTGATAAACGATCCGGAAGGTCAATTACGGGAATCCTTAGAATATATAAATACGCCATTGTTTCAGCAGGGCTTGGAAGAGTATCTTGCAAAGCTCAAGAGCAAGAACAGAAAGTGAACTTATATTTCTACTGAAACTTACTGTGTTAATCTGTGCATTTACAAGGGTTAGGGTTTGTTAGTTTTTGTAAGAAAATCCTTTTATATTCCTTTTAAATATTAAATTTGTTAGTGATTGTGCTTTGACTCCAATTTTGACTCCAATAATCGAAAACGAATGGACACAATGTTTGTTAAGCAGCTGAAAAAATGGCGAACTAAATTGCATTAAGAGAGTGAATTATTTTTATGTTTTATTAAAGGGATGTTTCAAGCCCTCAACTTTAGACTGCGCTGGAACCTGAGCAGCTGCAAATTTTACCGCTCATCCAAAAACAATTCCGAGTGAATTTCCTCAGGTAGGTTAGCCATGGCCTTAGTCATCATCTCCATAAACGAATTAATTTCCAATATTTTAGCACGATGTCGCTTCATTTCATCTCTGGAATACTATTTGTTTGAGTTGATTCGTTGCAATCGGATGACCTGGTACTCACTTGCTTAGCTTTTCGACGTAGCTGTTTATGAACTCCTTGCTGCGGGTGGCCATGCGATCCTCGCGCTCCTCAATGCGTGATATCTGCGTGGCTTTCATATCGCCTACAATCCGCAATAGGGACTCCCGATCATCGATGCACATACGCAACTCTTGAGGCACTGCATCCAGATCTTGCAGCGCCAGCTTATGCGATATGAAACGCGACACTGCATCGGTCATGTTGTCCGCGAAGTGTTCGCAAACATCGCGCAGCTGGAGAAAGTAAATTTGCGCCTCCTCTATGAAGCTGGCCATTAAGCGCGTAATTCGACGTTCAAAGTTCAGCGTGGTCTCCTGTGAAAACACAGATTCTATGATTTACAGACTAGACAGGCAGCTAAACTTACCTCAACTGCCTCGTGCAGGTGCAGCTCCTGTGCCATTAGATTTTGCCACATCTCATTCAGCGCATCGTCAAACTGCGCATTCAGTGCGTCCATCGCTTCGCATAGTTGCAAGTGCTCCGGCGCATCCTCATCGCCAGCCTCCAGTTCACGCAGCGTGCTGCTCGCTTCCTCAAAGATCTTATCCCTAAATTGCATAAATTCTTCAATATGTTGCTGACCGAGCGTCTGCAGCTCCTGTTGGCCTTCCCGTAGACTGCCCATAAAATCCTTAATTTCCGCATCGCGTTCGCTGAAGCGCTCCAGACCCAGTTTGTAAATCTTCTGAGTTAGCTCGAATACATCGTTTTCGTACTCCTCCGCCAGCTCTTGTGCGACTGGGCCAATTAACATCAGAGCTTTGCCGTCATTGTCGCCACGCCACATGGTCTCATACAGCTGGTGGCCATCCAGATGCTCTACAAAACTGGAAGACAAACGTTCCGCCTCGGCGAGTTCGCGTGCCTTTGTCTCCCGAGCGTGTATCTCCTTTTCCTGTTTGCCCTCGATTTCGCGCAGTTCCCTGCTGTTAGAGTGGAATATATTATATTTGTAATATTTTCAAATTGGTTTCAAATATCTTACTAAAATCTCTTTTGAGCCGCTTCGCGCATTTCATCCTTGATGTAAACGTATTCATAGTAATTCAATTGCTGCAATATTGCGGTTACATATTGCGAGAGCGGAAAGTCTGGCAGCTTGGCAATGGGATTCCCTTCCAGGTTAAGTACTCTCAAGCTCTTGACAAAGCGCAGGCGATCAATCTGTGAAATAGGTAATAAGCACATATATATATTAGTATATGGTATCAATTGTTAGGCTCAGATTCGACTTACGCCATCCAAAACCTCGATCAAATTGTTACCGATGCTCAGTATGACCAATTTATCTAATGTCTCCAGGTTTTCGATTTTTGTTATGCGATTGCTAAACAAAGATAATACCTCCAGATTGACCAATGTCTCCAGATTCTCAATTTTGGTTATATAGTTAAAGCTCAGATTGAGTTCCTTGAGTGCAGTCAGCATTCCAATGTGCTCGATTACTTCGATTTTGTTGCAATTGAGACAGAGTTTGGTCAGGTTCGGCAGAACCCACAAATGATCGATGCGTAATATATCTGAATTTTGAGCATTATAATGTGTGCCATTAATAATCATTTTTATAATCTTTATAATCTTTTAAATGTTATGTAAATAAATAAATCTATGAAATCGGATTACTAAGTTTTATTCTTTCTTAATTATTCGTATATACATAATATTCCATGGTGTTCTGAGAACTGAGATATTTTGTTATTATCCAAGTATAAATAATATACTTTTATATTCTGATAGATTTGACTCACTTTTGAACTCCAGCCGCATTGTTGTGATGCGCTCCAGTACCACGGGCTCCAGCTGATGCAAGCGACGCGTCTCGCCACGTTGTCCCTCCTCCAGATAGGCGGATTTGATCATGTCCAGATTAATAATGCCCGGCTCTGGAAAGTTAACCTCCTCGAGAAACGTTTTATTTGTTAGCCCATTTTTGGTGCTCGTCTCCTCATCCATTTCCCTTGATGCCCATTAAACATATGTCTGCTGCCGGGCGCTGGCCATGTTCGGGCTGGCGAATTTATGCGTTGCCCCGGCAACCCGCTAATGTCCCAAACAATTTTGGAGCCATGCCTAGTTACCAGCCGCGACTCGCAAGTCGCATGCGGAGAATGCGTGTTGTGGTCCTGCTCCTTAGTTGCCGAAAAAAAATTCAACCCTGGCGCCTTGAACAGGTGCAATCGCTTGGCTCTGGCCGGTATATATTGGGTCCTCGATTGATTCCACGTATTCGTTAAGCTTCGTGCGTGGCTCTCGCTCTCGCGCCGCCCTTCTGGTTGACAACGGGGCCTGGAAGGGGCGCTTGGTCTACTTAGGGTTGCGGTTGTTGTGGATATCGCCGTAGCTGGTAGTTGTTCATGTTTGCTTCTAAAATCAACTGCTGCTCGCAATAGATACTGCGATAAGCTCGCTTCGGTTTCGCAATATACATATATATTTTCTAATTCCGCACAGCATATTCCGCTATATATTCACGTTCCGGCTGCGATATCGTGTGTGCCCGTAGGTAAAGCTAACAAGCTCGGCAATTGCCAATGGTTGTCCAATTCAGTTTGTTTTAACTAAAGTTAATCGATAAAGTGAGGCCCGAAATGAACTAAAGTTGTATACGCGAATACATATATAATCTTCAAGCGATATGGCGGATAGGTTCATCATAATAAATAAATGCGTTTTGCTGGTGTGCGTGTTGTATGGAGAATTCTATTTAACGATATGTTAAATGTGTTTCAAGGCTAGGCCACAATATTTGAGCCAAAGCCAAAACAAAAGCCCGTGCTGACTCAAGACTTGGATTTGGCTACTGGCCACACCCCCACCCCCCTTTGCCCGACCCCCTTTCCCATTTCCCCTTACCCTACCAAAAAGCACACATGTCCTATTTGAGTGTATATGGACTTGGAACCTAAAACGAAATGTCTTCTAATTTGACATGGTGCTATGAATAAGTAATAAAAGCCCAACGTTTGAAACTTCTAATTGTCTCTGAAATGTGATACCAAATGGGGACGAGCTTGTAATTTTATTCTTGCATACAGGGTGCTCCACTCGGGGGTTACAATCCCCAAGGTTATTGAGACTACCATGCTCTAGCCAAAGGTTATACAGGATTAAGAAATAGAGACAAGGATTAAGGGTATTGATTAAAGTACGCTAGCCTATAAAAGAAAGAGTATTTTTTGGTTAGATGCTTAAATTTGGATATACGAATACTTTCCTATCCTGACTTAATAATGTGAAAACTTGTCCTTATCTCCTCGTGGAGAGTATCTTGCAGTTCGTTGCAATTGACATTTTTTCTTTAATTCAGATATCATAAGATATATATATATCTTTCAATAATTTGCTACACAAAGCCTTTGGCTTGCTCAAACCAACATAGACACCCTGTATAAACTCTGAAAGGGGAAATCGCATTTTCTGTAATAAAAGAGAATTTGCATTTGTTATTTTAAAGGTCAAGTTAAAAATGCATGTGCATTCAAAAGGGCAGCGAATGGAATAATTTACTGAAAATTATATACAATTAAGGCGTTTATACAATTCAACTAGATTAGGTACTAAATGCGAATGCCCAGCTCTGGGCGATGATACGTTAATTATGATGATATCTCGCCAAGTATCCGTGCACATTTATTTATATTTTCATTGTAGCCAATACAATGTTATCCCTTTAATCGGTAAGCAATGTTTTGTAGCCCCAAAACAATGGACTATGACCTTGATATTTGGGGCAATTGATAGACTTGTGGCACAATCAAAATAAATTGGTCAAGTCTTCAAAGAGTTCATGTCCCTTAATCGATATATTGATTAAATCCAACTTGGTGGCATCCGTAAAAAAAAAAAAAGTAGAAATGCCCTCAACATGTGGTCCCTGTTCACGAGTTGAGCCAATCCAATTAATTGCCAGTTACTTAGCTGAAATTGATTCGATTTTAAGTGTTTGCATTTGTTTTAATGGTCTTTTAAAACAAGTCCCATTGGCATGTCGACACGTTCAACTAATCACGATTTTCCCCTCTACGCCAAACAGAAGGAAGAATTTGGAAATTTCAAAATGAATTATATATAGATCGTAATGTACTTAAAATTTAGATTTATATATATATAATTTGATATTTGTGCTTTTTTTTTTTTGAAAAATTCCACTCGCAACTGTGGAATATATGTGAAAAACGGGTGAATGGAAATTGTTTGCTTACATTCTGCTCGGCCTTAAGCTCAGTTAAAATCTATACATTTTGAAGCAGTAACCTTTAGCCGGATATAGCCGGGCAATATGCGCTAATAAGGTCTTATTCGAAATAGAAGTAAACGTTGTTTTTTTTTCAGTGTTGAGCCCGTCTAGTCGCACATATAGAAAATATGTAAAAAGGCGCTCCCATGCTGATTGTACCATGAATCGATATATAACACTGTCCCAACTGGGCGATGGAACCTATGGCACCGTTGTGCTGGGCCAGCGTAAGGACACCGGCGAGAAGGTGGCCATAAAACGCATGAAGCGCAAATATTATTCTTGGGAGGAGGCTATGAATTTGCGCGAAGTGAAGGTTCGCATTTGATAAACCAATCAAATTGCCGCAATTGAGTTAATTAAGGATTTTGTTTTGCAGTCTCTGAAGAAATTGTCGCATCCGAATATCGTCAAGCTGAAGGAAGTGATCAGGGAGAACGACACCTTGTATTTTGTGTTTGAGTACATGAAGGAGAATCTATATCAAATGATCAAGGATCGTGACACGCATTTACCGGAACCGGAGCTCAAGAGTATACTGTTTCAGGTAAGTCAAGGATCGCGTATAAAAAGTGAAATATATATTGATCTATTGGTGTTTCAGGTCCTGACGGGGCTGGCCTTTATGCATCGGCATGGTTTCTTTCATCGCGATCTCAAGCCCGAGAATCTGTTATGCTCGGGTCCGGAGCTGATCAAAATAGCGGACTTTGGGCTGGCGCGCGAAATACGTTCCCGACCGCCGTTCACGGACTATGTGTCCACGCGCTGGTACCGTGCGCCCGAGGTGCTGCTGCACTCGACCAACTATGGCAGCACCATCGATCTCTGGGCCATGGGCTGCATCATGGCCGAGCTGTACACGTTCCGGCCGCTATTTCCCGGCAGCAGCGAGGTGGATCAGCTCTTTAAGATATGCTCCGTGCTGGGCACGCCCGGCAAGGTGGGTTTTGTGGATATTTGCTGAGAGAATTATGTGCCAGCTTTTGGGTTTTTTTAACAACAGAGCGACTGGCCGGATGGCTATCGACTGGCGGCCATGATACATTTTCGTTATCCCGATTGCATTAAGGTGCCACTGGGCAGCGTGGTCAGCCGCTGCAGCCAAAATGGCTTGGATTTGCTGGAGGATTTGCTGGCCTACGATCCCGAGAAACGGCCAACGGCTCAGCAGAGCCTCAAATATCCATATTTCCATGCGCTCAAGCGCATCTCGCCCACGGCGGCTGCCAAGGCCAATGTGAGGCTCAGCTCCAAATATGCTGTCCTACCTCCCACTGTGTCAAATAATGTGCTTCCCGTGCAGGAGAAGCTGCAGGCCGTGACTGAGCTCATACATCAGAGCAACAACAACAACAACAACAACAACAATAACAACATGAAGAGCAATGGCAAGATCCTGTTCAATGGACAAGTCAGCAAAAATGTGAGCATGCCCCATAATTATCAGCCCAAGCAGAGTTACCTCTCCAACAATGACTTGTCCGGAGTCGGAGTGGGCGTGCTCCCATCCACAGACGCAGCCAGTCTGGGCTTGGGCATGGTCCAGCAGCCGCAGCCGCCGCCGCCGCCGCCGGGCAAAGAGTCCATCAATGATATTTATCTGAATCGCAACATTTCGCAGCTGTTTGGTCTGCCAGCTCCACCTGGAGCTCAACCTCAGCATCATCATCCCAATGTATCCTTCAGCAACACGTCGACGCGCAATGGCGGCGCCATCTATGTAAATGGCAGCCAGCTGAGCTACGAGACGGTCAACAAGAATGCCAAAAATAACAGCCGTTTGGCACCTGGCATGGGCGGCTACTATGTGCAGACGCGGCCCGCTGCCCAGCTGCAGCCCGAGGCCAAGGTGTACAACATGTTCTCCAAGGTGAGCGCCATACCGGCGCCATCAAGCATCATTGTGCGCCAGCATCCGCCACAGCATCCCTTCGAGCCGACGTCCTTGCTCAATGGCGCTGCCATCCGGCTATCGGCGCGCTCCCAGGCAGCGCCAACGGAGCCAAGGCTGAAAGCTGACGATCTGGATCTGATACTAGGGTAAGTAGATAAATTTGCAGAGCTGCTGAAGGCGATCTTCAAGGCATAAATAGTCGAATAGTTATTTGAATAGGATATCTGATAGACGTAAGTGTCTAAGATCGACTTAGCTCCGCAAGGATCAGGAGATAAATACTATACTATACTCAAGCGATAGGAATCAATTTATGTACATCTTTTCAAAGTTGTAAATTCGATTTGTACCCTGCACGTCCCCAGTATCGGGTGTATTTGTGTGTTGGTCTGTGTTGTCAATTATTTCAATAGTTTGAAATGTTCGAGCACTGTTTTGATGCAATTCGTGGCTTTTGATGTGTGTTTGTAAATAGTTTGAAAAATGTTTGATCCATTGACACAGCTCGAAACTGAAAACGTCGGCGAAACGTCAGCGCAACGCCAAATCGAACATCCTGCTGGAGGATCTGTTCGGACACCTGTCCATGGACTCGGACAGCGATGGCAAGTATCCGCACACAGTGCCGCCCACACAGCAGGCGAAAAGTGGCCAAACGACGACCAGCTCCCAGAATGGACGCGACTATTTCAGCGAGAATTTCAAGCGTGCCGCCAAAAAGCGAACTCCCAGCAGCCTGGAGGCGAACAATGGCAGCCGCACCGATTCCCTGTCCACGAATCCGTAAGTAATCCGCGTCGAATCTTGCCCAGGCATTAATTGGAACTGTGTGTACTAGTGCTTCATACTCATATACTCAGCCAAGTTTCATATCTGTGCTTCTTCTCTTAATGTCTATGTACTCTATTCCTATCTATCTCTCTATATGTACTCTGTCTGTTGTTTTCCTTGGCTTTTCATTTGCATTCATTTTGCGCGTTCCACAGTGAAACCCAAAACGACTCCTCAGTTGATGAAGATTGTCGCTTTTGGCCCATAAGGTAAACATCTGCATGCGTAACAAATTGTATATATCTAAATAGAAATCATATTCATTTTGTTCTGTTTTTTATTTTATCACATTGTCACCAATTAAATGAGGCTTCATTTAAATAATATTATGAAAAACACATGAGCTCATGCTATGTAAATGTTTATTTGTACTACTTGCTTCGATAATTTAATCCAATTACTATTAAAATCATTATGGGGAATAGCTAAAGTATTAATAAAAAAAAAGCAAACAATTAAAAGACTTGACAGCTTAGATGGGCAAAACTCACCGGAGGCATCTTCATGTTGGTTATTTCTTTTAGTTGCGTTTGAGTTTAGATTTCGAGCCAAAGTTCTGATGGATTATTGCCATCGATTTAAAATTTAACATTAAGTGTAGCTAGCTGCACGAGTTTGCATGTTAATTAGTATACGAAAGCTGATGTGTATATATTTTAGATATTCTGACTCATTCTAAATCAGTTATTGATCAATTTCAGAGCACAAAAAATACTCAAGGAAAAGGCTGCTACGTTTCCCTGGGATGAGACAAACAAAACGGAAGACGAGAAACTAACTGCCTGGATGGTCGCCGAGAATGGTAACTTTCATTTGGGTAATCAGCCAGCGTAGAAGTCGGTTACACTCCATCTAGATTAGAGTAGCGTAGAGTATATAGATAAAGCAAAGCATGCATTGATTGGGTGCACTTTATGGAATTCGGACAGAAATCCTAACATCAATTCTATTGCGAAAGCAAACGGAAATATGCGGCTCGAGCGAAATTCTCTAATACCGTTTGATATCTTTCACATGACAGGATCTTTGTTGGAGAACAAGTTTTGATACGGATGAACTGTTCGTGGAACTGAGCAGACGAGTACTCGTTTATGTTGTCGTACCTGATACTCCGGAACCTTCGTTTCCTGTTAAATCTACCCAATTAATGGCAGCGCGCGCCCTTCTATGTTTGCTCCAAATTCATCGTGTACATTTACGCAACGTCTTAACTAAACTAGATGTGTTTATAAAATCCATTAATTTTAATGCTGTGATAATGATAAAAAAGACGTAAATACATATGTAAAAAAAAAAAAACAGAATAAATATATTGTGTTAATGGTAATTATAAGTCGAAAATAAATAATGTCTAACTGAGAAATTGTTTGGCGCTCAATTCTTTACAAATATTATTTAACATGCCTGTTAAACTAGCAAACATTCAGTTTACCTGTTAAATAGCAGATGTGACTGCATTTAAGTGCTGCCAATTTGCAATAGTTAGCAAATATGGCAGCACCGAATTTGTAATCCTCAACGAACTGACCTCTGCTTCAATTATTTCTACCCCATTTTGTAGTCCTAGTCTATTTTGTAGCTTAAGCTTAATTTCAGTGCAACTTTTAAAATTCCTCATCTGTCCTTAAATTCTACTTTTCAAATAAAACCAAAAGCTTTTCTAATACCAAAAGCGGTCTTATTCTTTTCTGTTACGTTTTATTCAAATGCCTTAAAAGCCAACCAAAACGCATCAGATATCATTTCCCTTATGTCTGCAATTGCCGAGATGCGATCTCAGAGAGACGCGGGGATTGCGTAAGCGATTGCATTGTCGGGGATTCGGTTTCAGCTTCACAACTTGGCCACTGCGACAATGGGGCATGTCTTGGGCTGGGCATATACTAAGTATATAAGGAAGGTATCGCGATCAGTTGGGCATCAGTTCACTCGGATCTCGGCGTTGAGTCAGCTGCGTGTGAGGCCCTCTTTGCAATTGAAGCTCAACTGAAGCACAATGAACGTCTTGGTAGTTTGTTAAACATTTCATTATTATTATACTGAGCTCTAATGTGGTGTCCATTGCAGACGATCAGTCTGACTGTTTGCCTGATCCTGTGCGCTGCAGCCGCTGAGGGCGGCATCATTGCCGGCCATCCGGATGAGCTCATCTCTAGCCCGGCTCAGTACGAGTTTCATTATTCCGTGCACGACAGCCATACGGGCGATGTGAAGGATCAGTTCGAGCATCGACGTGGAGAATATGTTACGGGTCGTTACTCGCTGATCGAACCCGATGGACATCGTCGCATCGTCGACTACAGTTCGGATCCATTGCTGGGTTTCAATGCCCAAGTGCGTCGCGAACCCATCTCCCTTATTACACGTTATTAGAGCGACAACACATGTAGATATCAACCATAATGCCCGATTTGCATACTACTATTAAAAGGCTGTTCACATTCGATACTAATGTTTTATTTTTAACGTGAATTAAGGATATATTGCAGGATTTCGGAGCGGTTCCTGTGCTGTTCCAATGTAAAGTTATTAAAGATTGGATTCAATCCAATAACTTGTGTTCAAAATAATGATATTTATTTTTAGTCCCATCCTGTATCATTAATCCCACATTTTGGCAGTTGATTTGTCCTTTCGCTATGTTAAGTCCAACATAACAGTCTTTTCTTATGTTAACGTGTTCATGTTATGCGGTTTATCTGTTAGCAAATAGAGCGCTGTTACATTAACAGCTGCCAAGTATTGATTTATAGAAATGCATTTATTGCGTTTATGTTCACATATTCGTAATATATAATACATAGGAAACACAGATTTATAACGTATATAAATCGTGCTTAAAAGAGTCCTAGCAGAGGGACTGATGCGCGTAGATGTGTGAAAGTATAGGTGAGGACAGGATAGTGTTTGAAGTTCTGGCTAGAAAATGTTAAAGTTAAAGTTGCTTTGAGTTGAGTGTTCAGTTTGAGATGTGGGTCGTCAATGCAATGAAATCAGTGTTTGGATTCTCTCTCTCTCTCGCTCTCGCTCTCGCTCTCTCGGTTTCAGTTCTGCAATCCCTGATCCTAGTGGTACAGGCCCAAAGGCAGCTTAGGGGCAGCCAGGAGCTTGGGCTGCGCATAGGCCAGCGGCAACGGAGACACAATCTTGGCAAGCGGTGCAGCCTTAACGATCTTGTGGCCCAGGGGTTCACGGCGAACGACGGCATTGAAACCGTTATGGGCATCCGATGTGTAATCCACAATCCGATGATAGCCATCGGCATCGATCAGTGTGTACTGTCCCTGGACCTGATCGCCCTTGCGGGATTCCGTCTGGCTCTTGATGTCGCCGGTGTGCTCATCGTGCACGGAGTAGCTGAAATCGTAGTGGGCCGGCGCCTCCACCTCGACGCTCTTCAGCAGCGGCTTCACAATGTGCGTCGCTGGCGCATGGTAAATGGGACTCAGCTCGATGGCAGCGGCAGCAGCTACGCCCAACACGAACACAGAAAGTAGCTGGAATTGGATATGAAATCACACATTGAATGCGAAATCTTTGTAAAGTGCAGCTGGCAAAACTCACTGAGAACATTTTGCGTCTTGTTTTGAGTTATTTAACTATGATATTGGGCTGGCTGGTTTGGATCACTTCACTTGAGGCTCCTGCGCTGAACTATGTCGCCAAATGACGCGAACGCAACTTTTATACCGAATTTTCGAGCCCCGCCTCCAACCACGGTGCGTGTGGATTAGACCAAACCTGAACTGGAATGCCGTTAAATGTAAAACAGTTACTTTTTGTTTTGCCAATAGTTTTTTACTTAACACCCAAGTAAAAATAAAAATTCAAATAAAATTTGGCTCATTTGCTGAGCTTGCAGCCAGTTCGCAGCACCAAATCGACTTTTGCTGCTCTCCTCGAGTCGAGCTGATCTGCGGATCAAATGCCCAACAATGCCGCCAGCAATTCATTTAGATAATGAGCGTATTTCAAAGTCGAGTGAAAGTAAAACTATAGAAAACAAAATTACAAACCTTATCACTGTACTTTGCGATAAATAAAATAAAAAACTCTAATAACTGACAATATTATCCATAAATATAATAGACAAATAGATATCTATGCAGTTTTCCAGTATATTTAAACTATTTGTTTAAGGGTTAAAAAATAATTTAAATATTTATTATATATTTATTTTTCTAAGCTTGTTTTAAAATATATAGGCATTTCAAATAAAAGATTTATATATTCTGATAAAAAAAAAAATTGCGCATTTCTTAAGGCATTATCTCGGCCAAATAATGTCAGGCTTTGGAGTTTTATACCATTTTGGAATCGTGAGGATCAGGACTATCGACTGGCGACATATTGACCCAAATCGTCATCGCCATTACATCACGTTTTGGTTCAAAATCAGCTTCGGTTCGAAAACCAAAACTTTTTTGATGATATTTTCTTTTGGAATAACTCGGGTAAATAACGTTAGATTTTTACAAATTATACAACTTTGAATTCATAGAAATCCCTTCTATGCATTGACACTAAGTCAAGTCAACAAGCGTTGAATAAAATTGAAAATTTTATAAAATTCGTTTCGGCTACGTTGTGAGACTCTTTTCGCTAATTAGGCTTAATTGATAGATTGGTTGAATTTGTCAAAATGATCTATCAACATTTGAGGGGAAGTTGAACTAAACTATTTCGTCGATAGCTGCAACAAATTGCACATTGACATTCAGACAGCCTTCGGCGAGCTTGCAGTTTTTTCCACTCAATTAATTAATCAAGTTGCAACATCCGTCCGTGTGGCACACAAGACAACCAGACCGTAGCCATATCGGTGGATAACCCTTGCCTATATGCCAGTCGGTCGGTCGGTCGATCGGAGGAGGTGGAGTTGCGGGGCGCTGCCCACATGCCGCAGCCTTTCACGCACACAAATCAATGCGACAGACCGCAGACCGCCAAGTGAAAAGCGAATCGAGACACGTAGGTAAATTCGATATGAAGTAATATCTTGCGCCACACATTCATTTAGAACAAGATTACGATTGCATGGCGAGTGGCTCGCTCCAGATCCGCACCGCACCGCACCGCACCGCTCGACTCACGCACAGCTCCAGTTCGAGTTCCAGACGCGGCACGCCCGCTGTCGCTAGCTGTCGTTGTCGCCCAACCCAATCAGCGAGAGACACACTCGTATGCATTTAAGTAGACTCCATAAATAATAAGTTGTGTCTACTTAGCGACATGTACACACTTTGTAGATCGCGCGATACCAGCACCAGCCTTGCTAGTACTTAACTTGGTGTCTGTTTTGGCATATGCCAAAAAAATCGCAAGTACAAGCAACTAACTCTTTGTGGCAAGTGCCTGAAGGTCGCACGAGTTGCTTGTGCCCTAAAAACTCAAAGCAAAGTATTTTTGATTAATAATTCAATTTTACAAAATTTAAAAAAAAAGCAGCATTTGCTCGTCTTGGCGGAGATTTCTTAAATTTTAAGTTGATGTAATATTTGTAGGTTTTATATTATTTTCAACAAGTCCACGCATATTTTCACAATCAAAATCGATGGGAAAATAAATAAATAAATACATGGAAAACGCGTTATCCGACTAAATACATATATCTAGGCATAGCTCTAAACCTAACAACAATTAATAACAAGTGAGAACTTTTTCGGTGGATTAGTAGCCCAAGTCTCTGACTTGGTTGTCATAGCCGAAATCCTTGAGATAGTTATCGATAGCCAGGTCGAAGGATGACGCGGACTCTGGTTTTATCGAATTCGACTCGGGTGTCTCGTATGACTTGTCCGGATATGCCTCCGTCTGCGTGGGATATGCCTCGGTCTGGGGCATGGGCAATGGCACTGGCTGGGGCTCGGGCTGGGACTCAGGCTCGGGCTCGGGCGCTGGATACGATTTGGGCGTCTCGGGTGGCGGCATCGGATACGTTGTGGTGCTCTCATAGACGGGCGCTGATGTGGCCACCACCTCGCCATATGGCGTCTTGGCCTTGGCCACGGCACGTCCCGAAGTGGAGACAGCTGCGGCAGCTGTTCGGATTATCACCCGCTCTCTGGGCACTGGCGCGGCCACCTTGTTGATCACCTGTCTGTACTCGGGCTGGAGACGGGCCACCAGAGGCTGCGGTGAGTAGTAAACCGATGGCTGTGGCTGTGGCTGTGGCTGTGGCTGTGGCTGTGGCGGCGGCTGCGGGCTGGCCGGATAGCCCTTCTTGGTGCCGTAGGCTGTGCTCAGCAGATGCGCCAGCTCCTCCAGCGTGTAGTTGGGCGCATTGATGTTGTTCGGCGCTGGCGCGGATGCTGCCTCCGCCGCCGCCGCTTCACTGTACACCACAGGATAGGGCTTGTAGCTGTTGCTGGCCGCCGCATACTTGGGATAGTATTTGCGCTGATGCGAGTGCGTATACTCGATTTGGCCGCCGGGCGCATAGTCGCCCGTGGATGAGATCTGTGTGATTTGCTGTTTGGGACTGGCCACAGACACCTTGCGGCAGAACTCCTTGCAGCCCAGCTTGCACTCACAGTAGCACTTCTTGTACGTGGACGGCGTCGTTGGCGTCGTATAGATGGGCGGCCTCGTTGTGGACCAGGGCAGTGTGGAGGGCACAGTGGGTCTAGCTGTTGTTGGTGCCGGCGTGGTGCTGCTTATCGGCCGTGGTGTGCTGCCAGTTGTTGTGGGCGGCAAAATGGTCGTGGTGCTTAGCTCACTGCACGGCACCTGCTCCCAGATCTCCTGCTCGCACTCGGCGCAATATTCGGGAAAGTGGGCGTGGGTCAGCGCAAAGGCGGCGATCAGCGCCAGCAGCGCAAATATCAAATTGAGCCGCACAATCATCTAAAAGTAATACGCAAATGGGTCGATATTAAGCAACGGTCAACGACACACAATTCCCAATTCCCAAATCAATTCATATGGTTGTTGTTTTGTTTTTATTTTACCTTTCAGCAGTATTTATGGATTTAGTTGTCGATGGCTCGGATTGCGCTCGTTTTCCACTGGCTGGTCGCGTGCAACTTCTTAAACTCAATTTGCTGAATAGCTCTTAAATACGTTTTCGCTGGCCGCGAGCTATTTGCCAACATTACAAGCGCTATGCAAATGGGTCGCGGAAGCGTTGCACCCGGCACGTGCCAAACGCTCTGCTCTGCAATGGACGGGGGCAAGGGGCAAGGGGATGTTGGTGGCGTTGTTGCTGGCGACGCCAACGCTTCCCATTTGCTCTGATACCAAAACCATATACATATTAGCTATGCCTCAATCAACACAGCCACAGCCACAGCCACAATCACAGTCACAATCAGAAGCGCTTCCGTAAAAGAATTTCATGCATTTCTCGGAGCACTCGCCGGCTGAGCTGATAGCCATAGCCATAAGCTAACTCCACCAATTCCAATTCCCAGTTGCCAGTTGCCAATTGCCATTTTCATATTCAATTCTAGCTCTGCACGCATTGACCATTTTTTTGTGTCTGCACTTTCAGAGCCGACTGCTCGATGGATTTATAAATTCTGTCTAGATCTGGGTCTGGCCCTGAGTCTGTGTCTGGAGCTGCGTGGGCCATTCATGTGCGCGTTGTCATCTTTAATATTTCAGTTAGTTTTCTTATCAATCTGATGATTAACTTATCAATTGGGAAACATTTTGGAGTGTCTGAACACGTACCAAGACGATGTCATTGCAAGAGACTGGCTCAGTTTTTCCTCTAGCCAAACAAATTTTCGATGAATCACTTTTTAAAACTTTTCAAACTTTTTTAAGCAAATATTCCCGTTCTAGACTTGACACTATACTTGGCCTTGTTGCCATTGCAAACAAATATTTTCAATTATTAGAATTATATTAAATTAGTTGAAATTCCATTTCGAATATTATTAGGATACATTCTTTTATAATTTCTGCTTTTAGGCAGATAACTCATAGTATTTTTTTTGGGAATTGCTGAAAAATAAGCTGTCAATGGATTTATGCATTCATTAAAGTCATTTAAAAATCGGTTACTAGATATTTCTCCATTAATTCCATATGCATCTTCTTCGATTAGATCGTCAAACTGGGTCGCAGCAAACAATCCTTCCTCTGCCCAATTTGCTCATATCATGGCCAATCTTTCAGTTTCCTCCCAGTTATGTTGGATGAGGGCATATTAATTAGCCACTATTTTAGCTTTTACTTGGTTTACTTCCACTCATCCCTTCCGCCTGCAGGTTCTATTCGTTGTATGTATATCGACAAATCCTCCTTCTTGGTCAACAAGAAGTATCCTTAAAAAGTTTGTACACACTTGACAAATTATATTTAAATGCCTAATTTCAGCTCAGGTGAGATCTGTCATATATCAGAATTATGTCCATAATGTCCATTATTGTAGTCAATTAGTTGACTGATTCAGAGGAAAAGCTGAGCAAGTCTCTTGCAACGACATCGTCTTGGTACGTGTTCAGACACTCCAAAATGTTTCCCAATTGATAAGTTAATCATCAGATTGATAAGAAAACTAACTGAAATATTAAAGATGACAACGCGCACATGAATGGCCCACGCAGCTCCAGACACAGACTCAGGGCCAGACCCAGATCTAGACAGAATTTATAAATCCGTCGAGTGGTCGGAAAATGTTTATACACAAAAAAATGTTGTTTCAAAGAGCGACCGACAAAATGCACTAATATTCTCGTCTTGTTTTTCTTAATTTAAATTTAAAAGAAAAGTAAACTATTTTTTGGCTCCAAAATAATTGGGTGCAGCCAGTACGCAGACACTTGAAGAAAGTTAGTTTCGTATACTTTTGAACGGGTTGTCTTAAAACAAATTAAATATTAATTTCAACAATAAACGAATTTAAATCTAACTCATGTTGGCGATGCGTGTCTGAAATGGCTTGGCGCCGGCATAGACTTGTACCCTGGGATGGCGGCTTCTCTCATCGAGCGGCACGGCTTCCACCTCCTGCTGGCGTTCGCTTTCTGGGCGCTCTTGGTTAAAGCTGCGCTTCTTCAGCTTTTCCCATTCGCCAGTTGCCGTCGCCTTGGACTCGTCAATGGCTGTGGCACTGCTACGTCCACTGGCGCTGGCACTGGGCATGGCCACGTCTATGGTATCGGTGGCATTGGCGGAGCTGGTCAAACGCCGGAGCAGCTCACGATAGTGCGGCTGATCCTCGGTTATGAACTCTGGCTCATCTTCCGGATTCAGGATCTGATAATTGGGCGTGCCCAGCTCGTATGTGGTCACATCACCTTGCTGCACTTTGTTCTTCAATTGATTTGTATCCCAGCCGTATTGCTGCCGCAATGGCGCCATCCACGCTCCATCAGGCTCCTCGGCACCGGCCACAGCAGCTCCCAACAGCGCCACCATCAGCAGCGGCCAGATGACTGGAACAGTTTGTCGTGTAGGCACTGCGTCGCACATTTTGCTACTGATCGCTCCAACTTGGCGGCGCAATAGAAGTTCGACTCTCTCGGCTTGCACACGTGCGCCAGCCAGACATAGATAGACAGATGCAGACGACAACTACGTGAGATTATCAACTTCTATGTCTCGTCAGCAGATAGCGTTAGTTTATCGGAGCATCTGTATTCTGTATTCTGTACTCTGCATCTAACGATGACGCATCACAAGCCCAGACGCAGCTGCTGTGAGTTATAGAGTATCTGAACTAGCTATCGATGGAACTTAAATAATACTATATATATGGTTATCTATGAAGAGCATGATACAATCTTGAGAGTTAGGAACTATAACCGGATCGGGAGTTAATCAACGAACTTTGCTTAATCAAATGTTAAAAGAGTGCAAAAATCTTTTGTGCTCTTCTAGAGAACAGATTCAATATGGCATATATTTATGTATGGTATGTATGTACGATGCATCTGTAAAGTGTGTGTTGTCGACTGATGTACAGAATAATGTATGTATATAACTTAAATATGTATGGTATAGAATGAATGCCAGACACGTGGCTAGCACAATTGAGATATTGGCAGATTCCTTGAAGGCTCGTGCAGTTCATGAATTGGAGATGTAGTCGAAATATATGATCAGTTGGCTATGAGATGTTTTTTTAGTATTTTTTAGTATTTGTACTGGGCCGTGGGTCCCGACACAGATACATAGTTGCCCTCCGATGGTTCCGGGCCCTTCAGCAGAGCCTTGGGTGCATAGTGGACCAGAGGGGAGAGAGGTGCCAGTATCTTGGTGGCAATCAGCTTCTTGGGCTCGAGCGCAGGCTGCGGTATCTTGATGTCGGTGGGCTCACGTCGGACAATGGCATTGAAGCCGCTGTGTTCATCCGAGGAGTAGTCCACGGTGCGCAGATAGCCATCCGCATCGATCAGCGTGTACTGGCCAACGACCTTGTCGTCCTTGCGTGTCTCCTTCTGGCTCTTGATGTCGCCCGTGTGCGGATCATGAACGGACCAATGGAACTCGTATGCCACGGGTCCATAGTCCGGCTCCGGCTGCAGCTCGATTGTCCAAACGGCGCTGATTAGCGCCAGGCCAAGGCACAACAAATAGCTGAGCTAAAGCAACAGCAATTAGGACCTGCTCGCATCTGAATGCAGTTCAACTTACTTTTCCCATCATTTCAATACGAATATTTTTGGCTCAAGAACTGTGTACGCACACGTCGCTGATCGAGATCGTTGTAATTCATCTGGGTAGTCCTCAGCGTTTTTATACTCCACGCTTGACAGCTCCAATGGCTCAATCTCGCACTCAGTCCCGGTCTCCGTCTCAGTCGCTGTGGATGTGGTGCAATTTGATAAAGTGCCTCAAATGGCTCCTAAATCGAGAAACAAGTAAATCTAATGTGGAGCGCGCTCATTAGCTGAGCCATGAAAAAAAAATAATATAAATAATAAAACATGAAATACGCAAAGTGCTCACTTGGCCAAAAACTTAATTTTTGCTCTACTTGGAATCGAGGGGGGGGGGCTTTTGCGTAGGCAAAACTTTTAACCAGAATTTGTGGAAGAAGGCTTACACATTTACCTTGATTAATTGCAATACGAATAAGCTGCATTAAATATAGCAGGATTTGATCTGGCTAAAATATTAATTCTTTAGCCTTATCGAATCGCAATCGTATCGAATTCAGACTTTGTCGAAGCACTTTCTAGTCGAAATTTCGCCATTATTGACATATTCAAAATACTTTGTTATTATTGTAGTTTTTTAAATATTTGAGCATTAAATATTTGTGCAGAGTTTCCTAGTAGTCCCTTGTTCTATTCTCCAAATATCATTCTATTCTTATTAATTTGTCTTTGTCTTTGTTTGTTTATACAAAAAGAGCTCAGAGAATTTTTTATTTGATGTTGAATAATTTTCGCAATGTCTGCAGTTAATTTGGGCGTGATCTAGAGGAACATATAAATCGTTGAGCACTTACTATTTGCCGCGTGCCGACCATTTAGATCCTGCCGAGAGTTGGCTAATTGAGTTGGCCATAACGAGTTTGATGTCATTAACAAATATTTTAATTAATCGCCATTAGACGGCGCTTTTTGCCAATTCTGTTCGCCTAAAAATTCAGGTTGCGCTATCACGCTTGCCATGCTCTAAAGTCTCGATCATTTTTCTGGCCTCAAATGCAAATTGCGGCTGGTGCACTTGTGGGGCAGGCGTAACTTGCTTAAAACTGGGTTAAACATACCCACTAACTGCACTTAGTGCAGACTAATATCGCATTCTGCATACCAGCCGCATTTGCATTTGCACTTGTCTTCAAACGTAGACTCTGGCCAGAAGACTGGATTGTGCCGTTGAAGATTATGAAAGAGCTTCGATTGCGTTTGAGGGTTGTCTTGATCAGATTAGTTGATCAGATTAATCTCGTAATTAGTGTCCAGAAGATTCTGATTAATCTTAATCCAGTCTTAAGACAACCCTCCCGTTAACTAATCGGCTTATGGTTTGTCACACAAAACATCCAGTCATATTTCAAATATTTTCTATAAAGTCGAGCTATACGAATTAGTTTGATTATTTAGGACTTTAAAAGTGTAAGTTTTCAAAAAATACATATATATGTTTTTAATATAAATTGAATTCGTAATAATCAGAAATATATAGCGTCATATAAATGAAAATGTCTAAAAATCAAATAATAATAATTTCCAGACAGATATGTATCTACTTTTTTTATACCCTGAACCCATTAAAAATGGGCATAAGGGTATATTGTATTTGTGCAAAATCCAAATGTATGTAACAGGCAGAAGGAAGCATCTCCGACCCCATAAAGTATATATATATATTCTTGATCAGCATCAATAGCCGAGTCGATCTAGCCATGTCCGTCTGTCTGTCCGCATATAAAAGCTATAGACTTCAAATAATAGATGTAGGTGCTCCCAGTGCCTGCGCAGATCGAGCTTGTTTCCGATAATCGATAACTTACTCCGTTGCCAAGCAATCGATAAAAATCGATATCGATATCCTGTTTTTTGGGCAATTTTGGTAAATAATAAGAGCTAGAGTCCCCAAACTTGACATATCGCTTCTAAAATAGAATATGTATATATACATTTGATATTGGAAGAAGAGGGTTCAGGGTATACCCTAGTCGGGAGCTCACGACTAAAACCTCTTACTTGTTTTTGTTTTTAGCATGCAAATTCCAAACTTAACAATAAAATTCTTCGTAAATTGAAAAAATAATTTGTATAATTATATATTATTAATTCAATAAATAATCCAAATAATTGCTTTCAATCTTCATCTTCCCTCTCTTTCTCCAGCTTGCAGCGTATTGTGCGTTGGCAGCGCGAGCGCAGCAGTTCGCGTCTCAGATTATTGCTCTCCGCCTCAACATTTTGCATAAGCTGCAATCGAAATCGAAATCGAAATCGGAATCGATAATGTTATCGCTTATGCAATCGATTAATATTCGTTTTGACCTACACTGTGTGTCATCGCAGCGCGTTCCAGCGAATCGGCATCGGCATCGTCGATCTTTAGGCAGCTGGCACAGGTGGACGAGGTCACGTGCTGGCGATGATTGCGTCGCGCCTGTTCGGGAAATGTGTCGCCAGCTTCGTATTTGGGCGGTGGATCATCGTCATCATCAGTGGGGCAGGCAGCTAATGGCAGCGCTGGCGGCGCCGCCGTCGCCAGTTGCGCCTTCAGCGCGGCCAGCTCTTCGTGCAAACTTCGATTCTGCATCTCGAGCAAGTCAACCTGGCATAATTGTAGAGTTAGGATCTGTATAGTCGGGCTCGGCTTGGGCTAGTTACGCTTTCCAGCTCAAAGTCCATTTCATCAATAATGTCATAGGACTCATCCAGCGCCGCTTGCATCTTGGCCAGCTTCGCCTGCAGCTGCTCCACTTCCGCTTCGCTGCCCTTGCTTTGCTGTGACTGACGCTTCTCCTGCATCAGTTGTTGCTCTGCTCAGTATATATATGTCAGCTTCCAGCTGCGTATCTGCATATCTGAATCTCACCCGTATTCCGTTGGGCAATGGCGGATTTCATAACCAGCCCCGTTAGCGTCTTTTGTCGCTTGAACATCTCCTCCAGCGCCTTGCAACGCTTGACCTTCTCCAGATATGCATCGTGCAGCTTATTGTATTTCTTCTTGTGCGTCTGCAGTGTCTCCAGAATGCGATCGCGTTCCTCCTCCAACTGGAAGGCCTTGATCTTCGATTCCACGTTCACCGTGGCACTTGTGTGATGATCTGTTGTTGCCCGGTTCAGTCTATGGCGCAGCAGTACATTCTCTTCCTCCAGGCGCGCATTCTGTGCTTTGACTACGTATGGAATGTGTACATACATATATCGAATGTATCTTCAGCTCGATATTACGTATACGCACCGGCAGCAAGCTCTGCATAAATCATTTGCATTGCGGAAGAGGATGGTCGCTCCATGGTGCAAACAACTTTGTGACTGTTTCCATTACTCAGAAGGGCCTCGGTTACCTGTTATCAGTCGAACTTAAAGTAAGATAAGCTATCAATTTATTGCGACTTGTTGCCATATCGCAAAAAGACAAACTTTTCTCTTTGTTCCGAACTCAAAAATGTCGGCAATAATAATCATAATAATTTGAGCATTATATAGAGTATATTTAAAAGAAATTAGTGGAACCTTTTAAGTCGAGAACCTGGTTGTGCAGCCCTGGGCGGTACTTATAACAGTTATATCTTAATTTCTTCATCAACCATCATGAAAGCTCTTTTAGTAAGAAGCTTTAAGTTAGTTTGGTTTTGATATTAACTGACTTAGAGTGGACCAAAATACGTATGGCTTTTGAATTGTATTCACCCGTTTGGGTTTTCTCATTGAATTTTGAATTTGAATTTTAAATTTGTGATGGAAACCCCTTGTTGTATACTGGATCGAATGGAGAAAATTGTCTTGGAAACTTAACATGAGCAGAGTTAATTTAATTTTTAAAGATTACGTTTAAAGGTCTTTTGATTAAATTATAATTTAGAGTTAAATCGAGCTGGACCAAAATAAAAACAAATACTTATCGGAATACTGATTATTGTAGCTAAAGTAAAATATTATGTGAAAATTCTATATTTAATAAAACTAACATAATGCATTTGTCTAGTACATTTATTATTTATATCTGTTGTAGTCTCATGTTTTCATTTCATATTGTTTAGTTATACAATATTTTCACTAAATAAAAATATGCATTTCTTAAAATCCTAAATATCTTTCATGTTTAATTTAGTCGCACCTAATAGTCACGCAGCTAAACTGTGTGCGTTTGTGTGTGTCTGTTTTTAAAATCCATTTATATTGTACAGATCATTTCAGTGTATAATTGCATATCTATTGGAGTGGAGCACGTGCTCATTGCCAGGGAGTGCTCGATTTGTTGTTGTTGTTGTTATTGTTATTATTGTTGCATGTTAGTATGTGACTTGTTGCTGTAAACTTAAGATATATGCTTAGTTGTTATCTAAATACAAGTTATAGCATACGCACCGGAACGGTTTTTGTAAATACATCTATTTGAAAATAATTGAATACGACAAATTGCGCTACATCGAACATTAGAAATCACACGTGGAATAATCGCGAAAGCTAGACAATCCTTCAATAAACAGATGCAACTGTATTACACGTATCCAACAGATACTAACTACATTTACTTAATCAACAGACACTTAGTAGGGCTTAAGTAGTTACTTGCTAACTAAAATGCATACGCATTTCCATTTTGTGTATATTTAATTGATATATTTAAGGCATTATCGCTTAAAGTACGACACTTTGTATTAAAATGTGGCTTCATTGTTATGCTAAAACAGGAAAGTAAGGAATTCGTTCTTTTCAAAATACTCCTTCTGTGTGAGAGTCGAGCCAACTTTTGCCATTTGGCTCTGATATGAGTTCCTTATATATTTTTGCACAACATACATAAAATAGAGATTGCAATAGAAATTCATTTAGCTTTGTTATATTCTATTATTGCAATTTTTTTAACATTCGTTTCGTTATTATAATTCCTTCTTTTTTTTCTCACACATTATTTCACAGCACAATTTCCATTGACAATTGTTAATATATTGATATTGTTAGTTCAGCTGCGTATTCCTTTTATTTGTTTTTACATCTTTTCTGTTGTTGTTGTTATTGTTTATACATAATAAATTTTGCATTTCGAAACCGAGATTGCACTAAGTATTGAGTAAAAGCTTTTTGGGATTGACAAAAAAGAAAAAGTGATAAAAAAAAAATCAGGAGCTGTTCACATCGATTCTTACAGGCTGGAATTAAAAATGGGTATGTTTTTTGAGGGGCTCATCGGATATCGCGTATATCATGAATCTGACTTGAATAATTTGGCAGCTGGCAACATGTGTTCCGATTGAACTGAGCCGAGATGGTTTATAGAAGATAATCATGAAAATCGTGTACACATTTTTGTGATTAGACAGACTGTATCTTCCTTCGGCTCTCGAGGAACACTCAAATAGCACTTATAATATAAATGGTACGTATACAATATAAAATATGCCTATCACAAGGAGCTAACACTACAATATGTTCCTACAGTATGCTTACACAATAAATAAACTATATATATATATATATATATATATATGCATATATATATATAAATATTGTTGCAATGCTCCAACTGTGTGAACTTCGGTGTGAACCAGTTTAAATATTGTATAAAAAACATTATTTTTCGTTTGTTGTTCACTATGAGGAAAGTACAATTGAACACTTGGTTGTAAGTACATGTAAAGCAGCTGGTTACAACTTATAAGGAAATAATATAGTCGGACAAGGGTTTGGTTGCACGCACGCACACGCCTGGAATGTGTTTATATAGGCTTCTGCTGCTGTTACAAACCGAATCAGCTTAAAGCTATGTGAGACATTGGAGAGATTGCTACGCTATGCACAGGAACATGTTCAACTACCGCAACTACAGACGGATCGAAGCCGACTCCTCGTCATCGTCATTATCTGTAATTAGCTCGTTGCGATCGTCATCGATTTGAATTTTGTGATGCGACAAATTCCGGGTGTGCTGTTGCTGCTGTTGCTGTATTGCACGGCTCTGGGCAGCACCTGTTGTCGGGGCCTCTATGGTGCTGTTGCTGTTGCCGGTGGCCAGGACGCTGTAGTTAAGATCTTTCGAGCTGGTGCGGCGATGACGCAGAATGCTGAGACCACTGGACGATGGCTCCACTAAGGCAGCCTGACTGTTCAGATCCTTGGAATTGTTGCGTGAGTGGCAACGCGATCCGGAGCTGGCCTCGGTCTCATTGGAATTCTTCAACTTGCTGGCATCGGAGACCACGTTCTTCAGCACATTGACGTTCTTTTTGGGATTGCTGTGATGCGAATGCGGATGTCGCAGAAAATCAGCATCGAAGCGTATATTGTTGGGCATATAAATCTGATCGTAGCTGTGATTGCGTGAATGCTTCTTCACGAAGTGGCCACAGCCAGTGGTTAGCTCATCGTCGTCGTCCTCTTCGGCACAGTCCTGCGGGCGCAGCTGGTTCTGTATGTAGCGTATGGGCAGCGTTGGATCATCGCGCAGCGTCTTGTGCCGCACATCATGCGGATTGAGATCCGTGGAGTGATTGCGAGTGTGCGACTGCAGCTTCTTTAGATTCCTGTACTTATCGCCCGCGGCGTCTGCAGCGCTACTCGCCACATTGTGATCCTTGGCAAAGCTCTTAATCATCTTCACATCACACGAAGCGCTGCGGAAATGCTTCTTCGACTTGGTCTGCGGCGCCAGACATGCGTTCACTGCCGGCAACACATTGCCGCACTTGTCGTAGCTGCAAGGGATTATGGTTAAAAATAGTTCGAACCCTAATGGAGGCAATCTTACCAGTACTCCAGCTGCATGGTGCGTGAGTCGTTGCGCGAGTGTCGCAGTATATCAGTTGGGATAATCAGCTCGCCATTGCCTGCAACAAAGCCAGTGTTCGGATCGCCACCAGTCAGTTTCTCCTCAAACACTGAAAGGATACATAAAAAAATGTAAAAGGAGGCATATGAAAGATATTTGTTCGATGCAAACACGAAAGGTATTCGTATATTGATTAACATAAGTTATATTCAGTTAAATACATTTGATGCTTTTATGGGCAATGTGGCATTTGGACTCACGTTTGTCTAGACTGATGATGGATCCGATAATGGGATCGCTAGCATTCAGTGGCTTCATGTTCTCGAGCTGCTTGCGCCTGCGCACAAGCCACCAGTCCACAATGAAGATGAACAGCGCAACCAGTTTAACAGAGGCACACAGACCCACGTATCTAAGGAGAAAGGTTTGTGGTAATATATTCTGGTCTCCAGCGAATCTTGTTGCTTACTTGTAGCGGAACTTCTCAATGTCGTAGATGAGACAACGACCGCCTTTCTCGCCGCAGGACGACTTCCAGAGCAGGCATGTGGAGTCGATGAGGTTGCCAAAGAGTATGGGCGCTGGTATATAGCCAAACAGACGAAATATGACAAATTGCATGCCCAGGGCGAAGGAGCGCTCCTCCTCGGATACGGAGCGCAGCACGATCATCAGCAATGGCATTTGGGTGGACGCCACAATGAATGTCATAAAGAAGAGCAGTATAAGGAAGGGGTAAATGGTGCGGCAGGGCGTGGCGCAGGGTCCAGCGGTGGCCACCGGCACAACAGTTACCTCGGCAAAGTCCTCGCTGGCGCTCAATGCCTGCGCCTGGCTGCCGCCGGCGCCGCGATAAATATTGCTCGAGATGTTGGCGTGAACACCTGCAAAAGAGAAGAGAAGAATTAATGAGTTTAGAGCGACTGCTGGATGGCATACTCACAGGCACAGTTTGTATAGTTGGAACTGGACGAAAAGGCGGTGCAGCCGGCATGGCAGGGACTAAAGTAGGTCAGACCATTGTTGCCGCAAACGGGCTCCACCTCGCTGGTTAGGCACTCGCAGCCAAAATTGCACGCCGCCGTCAGATTAACCTGGAAGGGCTGATCCAAGGTCGAGCCATGCTTGGAGCTAGTGTAGTAGGGTATAGTGGTGCCGGCCATTTTCAGATTGTCACAGCCCAGAAAGAACAGCATAGCATAGCAGGCCAGACAGATGACGTTAGTGATCAGCACGAACTGCACAGCGCCCTTGGGCTTCAGTTGGAATCGCTTCAGGACGCAGCCGCCAATGAAGATGCCAATGCAAGCGCCGGGCACGGCGATCGAGCCGGTGAATATGTTTGCTTGACTCTTGCCCAGACTGAACTGAGTCTCTAGATATTTGGGTAGAAAGACCACGAAGCCGGAGACAATCATCAGTTCCATGCAAGCGCCGAGGCAGGTGACAATATAAACGGGATTCTTGACCAGGCGCAACATTGACTGCGGTATGTCCTTAATGTCCTTGCCATAGCCAGTGTCCACCGTGGGCGGCGCATGTGCCTCCTCCTCCTTGCTCGTCACAGCCACAATCTCTTTCTTCACCTTGCCCAGCTCGTCTGTGGCGGCAGCGGTCGAATTGTTGGGCAGTGCCAGCTGCACAACACTGCTTTTCCTTATCTTCTTCTTCTCGCGCGTGAGCACCTTGGGGAAGGAGAAGAATGGCACCGCCACGACGAGCAGTATAACGCCGCAGAGCAGAAAGCCACCCCACCACATGCCCACCCATCGACGATCGCCGGGCGCTGAAATTAAGCAAAGGTTAAAGTCATTTCAATACAGATACACAAGCATACATATAAGTTTTTAGTGTTTATAAGGTCTTTGGTATAACGGTATACAAAGAGAATTGATCAGTGTTGAAAAGTGTTTTCGCTATGCTTAACAATACAGAATTAACATGGTCTATTATCAGCGTAAAATGTTATTTCCTAATAATAAGTTGCAAGATTTGTTGCAGTGTTGGAAAGTGGTTTAAGCGACCAAGCAGTATTAAAAGGTCACTGAAAGGCTCTGCACTTTCTGATTCACAGCATTGGTTATTGTTGGCATTATAGATTAGTGTTAACTTTAATTAAACTTTAGCTTTGTGACAGTTTTAGAATGGATCTGTAACAAACTTAAACAGCGAAGCATTTAGTGCAAAAATGTCCATTACAGTGCTGTAAAATGTGGCTATATGTAAACAACTAGTGTTGAACAAGTTCTTAAAAGCTTTATTTACTCGGCTTGACAGCTCTAATTAGTTAGCTGTTAACCAATAATAGCTAATAGCTTGAAAAATGTACTCACTTATGGATATAATGGTGGATCCCAACGAGTCCATGTGAAAGGAAAGCAAATAGGCGCCAAGCAGAAAGCCAACAACTGGTCCAAAGGCTGCCATGCTGTACATGCAGCCGATGTACATCGAAGAGCTCTCGGTGCGCACATGATCGTCGACATAGGTGGTGCCCAGCGTGAAGAGCGGACTGCCACCGCAGCCGAGCAGCAGTTGGGCGAGCACAAAGAGCAGCACGGGACCTGTCGTGGAGGCCTTGCCCTCCAGGCAATTGTCCTCGCGCAGCGTGTGCGGCGCCAGCGGCTGATTGGAGAGACCACTTGAAAGTCGCCCGAGATCCATGTCTTGGTCACGTACCAATGCGCTGCGGCAAATGTTATCGCTGCTCTTGTTCTTGATCGCAATGCCCGGATTGGGCTCGCCCGTAAAATGCGGCACCATAAACACCAGCGAGCCAATGCCCATGATTACCGCCCCGATCCCAATCCAGACGGGTATGTGCCGACGACTGCCCAAATAGCTGACAAAGATGACGGTTATCACGTTACCGATCTCATAGCTGGACGCGATCAGGCCCGAATAGCTGGAGGGTATCTCGAAGCGTTTCTCAATGGTCGTTATCACCGAGTTGATGTAGCCGGAGCTCAGCGCTTGCTGCATCATCACCAGCAGCGAGAGCAGCAGCACAAATATCTTAATCCTAGCAAATCTTTGTATGCCATACGGCCGGCAATTCAATATGCCGCAGTCTCGCGTACGGAACTGTTCCTCATCCTCGTCATCATCCCGCTGATGATCGGCACTCGAGCACTTGGTGGCCGCCGTCACAGCAGCAGATGGCTGTCGACTGTGGCACTTGAGGACAACATTATCCATGGACGTTGTCATCGGCGTCGTCATCATCGTCGTTGTCGTCGTGGTGGTCAGCGTCGTTGGCTTGGACGGCTCGCCGACATGGGAGCCGTCGTGGGTGGCATCTATGCTGCTATCGTCGCCGCTGTTCGTCTCCGAATAGAGGCCTGTCATCTGGTACATTGATTCCTGTCGCCTGCAAGTAGACAAAAACAATCAGCTCCTGTACCACACTATTCTCATGACTTTTCTTCGCCGAAAAGTTATCTAAACTTCAATTTTGAAACAAGCTAAAAACAAAAATTTCAATTAATTTTCAAAATTTTGACGTTTTAATGATCAGGCAACTATGAACTAATCATAATATTGGCGGAACTTCAAGAAAATTCCTGAGCTACATATCAAATGATCGATAACACAATCAATCGATAACTTTTGACATGCTATCAACATGCGCTTCACTAAACAAAAAGTACTCGACTAGCAGATACCGCTCAAGTAGATGTTGGTCCATAATATTGGCGGTACTTCAAGAAAAATCCTAAGCTACATATCAAATGATCGATAACACAATCAATCGATAACTTTTGGCATGCTCCACTTAAACAATATATTTAGAAAAAGTACTCGACTAGAGAATATCGCTCAAGTAGATTCATTCATTCATTCCTGAAGATCTCTCAAAGCGCGTTACAAATTATCTTTTTTCTTTTTGCTTTTTAAACTACAAAATAACTTTCGAAAGTCTGTAAAGAATTTAGAAAAACAACACAATCTGTTAAAGGCCATCAGAAATGATGTCAATTAAGATGCAAAAAAAGAAAAAGACAAAAACATGGAATTGATGGAAGAACTTCAAGTACCAATTGCTGGCCTAGAACTTGCCTATGTGCAAATTGAAGGACTGCGGTCGAGGACAACTCACTTGCAATATTGCGATTCAATGCCAGACAAAGGCTTTTCGTTTCAGGGCAGCGGCCAATTCTTTTACTTGGCAACTACAGCTACATAATCAACTAACCAACTAACCAACCAACCAACCAACCAACCGACTAGACAGAGAACTCGCGAAGTAACTGAATGTGGTCAAAAGGCTCACGTGCCTGACAGCGCGACAGCGCTGACTTGTGCATTGAGGAGGGAGGTCGTGGTATATAGTCTATCAATATTTCAATATTTGACCGAGTCGTCGTAATCGACTGCCATCGATTGTGTGTTATCCCTAATGAATTATTGAGGCCGCACGAGCTGCTGCCAAACAGAGCTCTGAAGTCTAGGCCCATATACAAATATTCAGGCATTCGACTTGTTATTTTGTGTATCGCATAGAATAATGTCGGGCTGTATTTGCACTGGCAAGGTGTCAATTTATGTAAATGCTCGCGTTTTGGATCGCAGCAAATGCCTTGACTAATGTCGTGCCATTGCACATTTTCTCACCTGTGACCTTTGCGATGTGTCGTGCCCGTCTCGGCATCGCTTATGCATACACCTGCACCTGCACCGGCACCGGCACCGGCAGCTGCACCTGAACCTGCACCTGAACTTGAGCCTGAGTTCGAACCGATTGCGGCGCCAATGCCTGTGTCCGGGTCAGTTCCTATCACCGAGCCTGCGGTGCTTTTGTTTGTTCCTCCCGCTGCTGCTGCTGCTGCTGTTGTTGTTGTTGTTGCTGCTCCTGTGGCCGGGCTGAGTTCCTGCTCGAAGGAGGGATTCGTATACTGCTCTGTATGTGTTTGCTGTGGACCGGATCTCGTGGCTGACATAATGTTGCATTTATGTTAAAAAAAAAAAATCATCCGTTTTCCACGAACATTCAATCAGTTCTTTTGCGTTTTTCCTGTGCTAAAGCTTTGTGGCATAATTCTGCAAACAACAAACGAGAAGAAAATGATTGATTATATGTTGAATATACGTGAGAAAATCCACTTGATTGATGTCTTAACAATATCTTTTCTAAGTAAAATAACAGACCGTTTAGGAATTTAGGATTTAACTAAGTATTGATAAAAATATGAGCATATAATAATACAAACAGGATAATAAAAGAACATATATCAATAAAATAATATTTAAATTTGAATTATTATATTTATATTTATCCAGAACCAACCAGAGGAAGGCAATTATGTGAAGACTAAAGACAAGATTTTAAATCATTTAAATGCGAAAAAGAAAGTCGAAAAGCTATTAAGAACTAGCAGTTATTACCCGGCCTTGCTCGGGCAAAGTTTCATATCATCATTTTCTGCAATTCCCTCACCATCCATAAGCTGACTGCGTTGATTGGCAGTGTCAGTAAGTCTGGCCATGCCAGGTTGTTGGACTACGCATTTCTATAGAAGTCATGTCATGTGAGAGATTCGTTGTACGCTTCAACTTCCGGGTGTCCTGAAGTGTTGGATTCTATTGCACGACTAATTGTGCCTTAAATCTCTTTGTGCCAGCCAACGACAAGTGGCCATGAGCTGCTGCACATGCGGAATAATTACGGAAGGCGCCATCCAGTCAGCACTTTAGCGATGCCACGCCTCCATACCCCAATGAACTGCCACACATGAGAAACAGCTCGCTTGGAGGCTGAAGAGGCAAACATTTGGGGCACGGGCATTAGCTGAAGGATGAGGCTGGTGCCGTTTCAGATTAAAAATACACACTTTACACGACCATGTGGCTGTGGACTCGTTTCTCGAAAAGGGCTGAGGACGAGGACGCACAGCTTGGCGCTGGGCACAAACAACAACGACGTATGAATGGCGGCCAACAAAAGACGCAGTGGCAAGTCTCGACGCGACGCGACGTCAGCTGCTGATTTCCCTTTCATTAATATGCGGCTACGCAAAGAGCAGCAACAGCAACAACTAAAGCATGGCCCATCACTCGAACACGCCCACATTCACCCACATTTATAAACAAATATATATATATATATATAAAACTATATATGTATGCAGATGTGGCAGTCTTTGGTCATTGCAGAGAGTTATCGATTGGCAATGCCGCCAAAGCAAATAGTTGACCGACTGCAAAATACTCTTCTTTTCTTTATATCAATATTGTATTGGATCAAAAGGGGCTTGCATGAAATACTCATTTGTAGAACAAAAACTGCTTTGAAATTGTATTTAAAGATATCTAGATATATATGAAGCTCATGGGCAATCATAATTCGAAACTGCTTTATTTTGTCTCCAAAACTCTGGAAACTGCAGTCAAAGAATTTCGAACTTTTTGTCTTGTTTAAAGGATATCATCAGGAGATTTAGGGATATAAGAACTATATTTTCAGATATGCACAGCAAGTCGAACAGTCTCTAAAACCAATATACTCGCTTTCGCTTTCATACTCATGCGTATAATCAGCAAATGGCCAAACGGTTCCACCTGCTGTGCCGTTGGCACATTCAATCCCTCCCTGCTGCTCGACTCTGGCACGCGGTTCGGCTCATGTAAATTGCATGAGCGGCGGCTAATTGAAGATTTGCCGTGCTCCAAGTTCTGGTTCTACTCTGTTTAAACGTAATTTACGGCTTCCAATCTGACCCATTTGCTGGGGCAAATGCCCGGCTAATGTTGAGCCCGGACTGCACTGAGCCAGTTTAACCAATTATGTGCCGCTCTTAATGCTCATATAGTATATAACCTGGCAAGTAGTTGGCCCCCCCCCCCGCCCGCATGACTAGACCCAAAAAGGGGGGACCCTATCGTATATTCTATTCGGCTCTTCGTGCTGACCCACAAATGGCTCAGCTTATTGCTTTCATGTTTTTCCATTTTTGGTGTCACAGCAAAAGTTGCCGCTTACGTCGCATCTGCGCATCCAAAATGACAAAATGTTATAAATTCCTACTCTTGTGCTTGTGCTCTTCTGCCTCGTATTTTTTGGCCAACAGCCAATGCAATTTTTTATCCGGCCTAGTCCGTGTCCCAAATGGAGGAGTCACAAAATGAATTAAATTCATCAATATTGATGGATTATAATTGAAATTTCTTTCTTTTTTTTTTTTGCATCCAGAGCGAAGGTTTTCAGAGCGCACAGAAAAACAGTTTTATTAAGGATTGGATTAAAAACAAAAAAAAAAAAAAACAGTTACAATGGAGGACATGGCTTTTATCGTGTAATCCCATTGAAGGACCATGAAGTACTTGTTAACAAGGTTGCCATGACGCTAGCTTTCAGTGTAACCGTATTTTTTCGTGACTGCACTTTAGTGTAACCATATTTGCAGTGTGATTGTGTTTCGGTGTGACCACGTTCTTGTGAGAGTTTTTTTTTAACAGTATAACAGTTTTACAGTGTTAGCCTATTTCAGAGCATGCGTTATCTGCGTACAGCCGTTTATCTCTACTTTAGTGTTACCATATTTTCAGTGTGGCTGCATATTATAAGGAATGCATTTCAAGTGTGCTCTACGCTTGAAATATCCAATAAAAATACGTATATTACGCATGGTTAACAACTCTATGTAGGTTCATGTTAATTTTTCATGAAGAAATACATTTTCTCAATCATCTGTCATTTCCAATTACTCGAACGAGTTAATTTTCACAGGTCATTTGGCTGATATAACTCAGGATCTGTGCTTATTTAAAGAGAACTGACATTCTTGACATTGTGCGTGGTGAAAGTACAAAGGTGATTACAATATGAAATCAACTAAAAAGTCTACTTGAATTTTCGGTAATTAAAGATAATGTATAGCATTAAGTTTGTCCCATCAGCAATGAGTTGGGACCTGAGACAGTGGACCAACTGCTGATCACCGGATGGGTTTTTGTCGTGACGTTGATTATAAAACGCAAATGATGGTAGATATTACATAACTAGTGTATGTAAGTTTTTTTTTTCTTGCTTATAAATTCAAAAGGAAAATGTAAAGATGTATGGTCATGTGAGGGATAAAACTTTTTCATAATATGCAATTTTTTACAGACGAAAGTGTTTCGTGATTAAAGTTACAAGCTACTTTACCATGATGTTAAATTTGAATTCGTATTTTAGCATTCTGTCTCTCACTCTCTCTTTCTTCCTGTATATGTTCTTCCTGGTTCCTATTTCGCTCTCTTTATGAAAGGTGTTGCCAGTTTATGGACGTGGCGTTGCCAGTAGCTTGAAAATGTTTAACATTTAGTTGATATGAAAATGTGCAAGCTGCAAGTCTGTTTTTCAAGTCATATGCAAATTTTAAAAGAAAATTTAACTAGAAATGTGTTTTAATATATAAGTTACATTAATAAGCTTGAGGCAACAACTAACAAACATATGTTAGTCGAATGTGAATGGATAATTATAATATACTTCTGCCACAGTAGATTACATTGTTCTGAAAGTGTTTCAACATTCGCCAACATATTCAAATTGCAATAGGTCAGCTGTTAATTAAGAGCACGTCATTCTGGCGACTTCAACTAAGTATTATTGCTTTTGCCTATTTGCAATTTTCCATGTATTCCAATGTGTATTGTCATTTAGTTTTGCATAACTTTTTAAACGACATACATAATCCAGTTAGGCATGACGCACTGTCAACCAAAGTGGAACCGCATGGCCTTCAAAGCTGGCCAAAGCATGAACCATTACCAATGGCCACGAATACAGATACAGATACACTCTATACCTACAGATACAGATACATTTATAGCGACAGATACATTTACACGAACAATTAGAAATACCGGTTGCCGAAACACACCCACTTGTCCGACGGACGGCACTAATTCATTAGACGGAATTGCCATTTGGGTATATCTTATTGTCGATATGCAAAATATGCTGGAGCGTCGTCTGAAGCTCGTGATTAACGGTGCTCCGACTAACTAACTATACCGTTGCTAATAATCGAGGCCAATGCTTGGGAATGCACAAGCAGAAGAACAAAGACAAACAAGATCAAAACTGTGGCCGAGCAGAAGCCGCAAAGCCGCAACATGCCGTCCATTCAACTCGCGGCGAGTGACTCAGGTGGCAACTTTGCGTGCCGCCCAGATGATTCGAGAGGCAGACCCAGACGCAGATGGGCACAGATCTTGGGCAACAATTAGAGCAACAAAGGCCGAGGCAACGAGCCAACGAACGCGCCCAGCTCGCTGTGTGTGGCACATTGAAAGTGACATGTGACTTTTTGCACAATTAACAATAATAATAATTTATACAATTGCATTGTGTACAATGCCTGCGTATTGCATTGTGCATTGTGTGTGGAGTGAGGTGCACAAATATGTTGCCAACTGGTTAAGAGGATTAGTTGCTCCCTCTGCTCGAAACGAGCCGAAACACTGACTCAACCGACCTGAAATCCGATACAGTCCATCTAACACTCACAACAGCCCGTTGGCGTTGTGCTCGGCGAGTCATTTGGGTGGGTGGGGGAAGCCCCTCGCATTCAGACAGCTTTTTTTTTTAGTTATTCAAAAACAACAAAAATAAAGCCTTCCCCTACGAATGTCTCAATTGCAGCAAATGGTCGCACTGAGGGACGCATTTGGCATTTGGAAACTCGAGTTTGCATTTGTCTTGAAAAAAAAAATAAACAAAACGAAAAGTTACTTTAAAGTTGGCAACAAAAAATCCTATTGGGCAAAATTTAATTGCTGCCCGGCAAGAAATTTGACATTGTATAATTTTCTTGGGAAAAACAAAATTATGATATTTTGTTTTGTGGCCGAATTCCCCCAAAATATTTACCATTGGCCTAAATTTTAATACTTTTATGGTGGAAAATGTTTTATGTATGGAAACAATTTGAAAATATTTATGAACCAGTTCCAAGCTGAGCTTGAACGAGTTCAATTTCAATCAAATAGCGAACCAGTTTAGATACTAAATAATTACGATTTGTTTTGGGAATCATTTAACATATATATAT